AGAAGGTAACAAGGAGAACAGGTCGTGAAGAGGACATGTAGCATCCCAGACAATCTTGCGGACCCTGCTCAAGCAACACTTCTGTACTATGTCCTGGGTGGAAGGGAGGGAACTGCCAATGATCTTTTCTGCCGTCCTCACCACTCTCCGCACCACCCTCTGCACCGCCTTCCTGTCCGAAGCAGTTTCCTAATTAACCAAAGAGGTCATTGGCACGTCTTGGCTACTAGGAAGACCCTTCTCCTTTTGCAAGGATTTGTGGGCTGTGGGGAGGCCACAAAGTCTTCTCAAGCTGTTTTCCGGAGAAAAAAAAAGTGAAGCTGGAACAGTTCTGGCTGCCTGAGCTGAAAGTCAGCCACATTATTGGGGTTTTTTTTGAGCAAAAGCTCTGAGCTTTTGCAAATTTTTCTTTCATCAAAGCACATTCCTCTCCTAGTCCGTAGATTGCAAAACCAGAGCCTGGAAATACACAACTGGAAATATTGCACTAAGAAATATCAAAGTAAGCCCCGATGAAGCAAGCAGGCAGGCCTTGCTAAACTCTGCTGGTGCCTCTGAGCTGCGTTTCACTACAAAGTCCATGGTTATCAGCCAGCGCTGCCCCATTGGGGTCAGAATCCAGCACACCTGCAGGACCTCAAGTGAGGAAGGAGGCTTCAGTTTGGCAAGAGCTGCTCAGATCTCGAAGCCAAGCTATATCTGTGGTTCAGTTTTCACTACAAAGTAGGTTTAATGAATGCTAATTAAATATATTAGCCAGTTCCAAGCAAGGAGATAAAAAGCTCAATTCCTTCAGGGCTGGTTTCCTTCATTTTCATAATAGGGAGATCTGGGAAGGGGTCAAAAAAAGTCAAGATGGCCACAGTGACGGTGGATTCAAAGCAAGTCCTGGTTGCAATCCTGGTTTGTTTGTGCAAGCCCCCTCAATAAAGTGTGCTTTTCCAAATTTCTCCAGGGATTCGTGATACACAGTTTGAGATATTTTGCCTTAAACCGCTCAGCATATCTGAAAAATAAGTAGGCAGCTTTTTTCCTTGGAATTTTCAATTCCCCCCCCCCTTTAAAAGTCAGTCCAAATGCAGCATCCACAAATGCAGCAAAAATAAACGAACATTGCAAATACTGTACAGTTCCATTTCTATTTCCACCTTGACTTTTCTGTTGCAAGGAAATCATATCACCTTGCAATCACTCTTCAAAGTTTCTCTCCTAATAGCTTCCTGATGTTATTCCTTCTCTCCCCCTCCCACCCCACTTAAAAGCGAAACAATCTGGCTGTTCTGACTTTATGGGTTTTATGCAAGGGTTTTTCAAGGTAATTATATCTTAGCTGCAATTCCAAGGACTATATGTTTTATAACTCTGGTTTCATCAGAGTTTTATTGTGGGAAATGCCCAAGGAAAGATGGGAATTAGAATAAAGGCAAGTGGAGCCCTTAGGAAAAGCTGTCCAGAATGATGAAATTGACAAGCTGGGGTTGTGAAATTGACTAGCACGTGGTTGAAGCACCAAGGATGGCGCTTGAAAATAAAATATCTAGAGCAAGTAAGCACAAGTGAAGAACTATAAACCTGTTTGTGCTGTAACTGGGTTATAAACAAACAGGTGATCTACTTCACCGCTATATTTCTCTGGCCGTTTCAAAGTGTGTGTTTTTGTGTTTGCACAGCAAGCATATACTATGTGCATATACTATGCACAGTAAGCATATAGTGTGCTAATGGAACCATGCTTGTGTTTGAGATATTCCTGACTCCACAGAACTGTATATATGAAACGCTCTCTGAGTGTCGTGGCTTCCTTGCAGATGTTTTATTACCCAACTAGGTAACATCATCAGTGCTAGAAAGAAGGAGGTGTTGTGGAAAGGAGGAGGTGGAGGACAATTACAACAATTGATGCTCTCTGAGTTTGACAATTTTCTTGCAGACCTTTCATTACCGAACTAGGTAACATCATCAATGCTAAAAGGAGGGAGGTTGTGGAAAGGAGGAGGAGGAGGAGGAGGAGGAGGAGGAGGAGGAGGAGGAGGAGGAGGAGGAGGACGACAATAACAATGACAACAATTGTGGGGTCCTTGGTACTCTCTTAGCTTGGCAGTTTTCTTTTAGACATTTCATTACCAAACTAGGTAACATCATCCGTGTTAGAAGGGAGTAGGGTTTGTCCTTATTTTTATATACTAGTGGCCTGCCCTATCAGCGTTGTCAGTATTTTTCCTTGATTATGCTGTTGTTTACTATTAGCTTGTTCGTCTGTGCTGGTAGTTCCTTGAATTGGGGCATTGTGTACTTCTTGATTGTCGGTCTTGGTGTTAATCTTGGTGTTAATCTCTGCTCATCTGGGGTGTTGATTGCTGCTGAGGAAGCTGTTTTTTGGTCTTTCCTTTTGGGCTTTTGATCCTCTCTTTCGAGTGATTTCAAGGTAGATCCAGCTCCTAAGCTAGTGAGCAACAGGGGATCTGTAGGGCCAGTTTAAAACTGCAGCTACATCTGAATCCTGGGTTGCTCACAGGAAATGCGGAGAAATTCAGAAAGGAGACACGGAGACCGTCATGAGTCAACTGAATATAATCTATCCATTCCAGAGTTGCTTTCTTGATTCCTTAGACAATCCACCTAATCCCCCAGAGGGAGGGAGAGAAGAGATTCCAGGAAGGTCGGAGATAAAGAATATATCTCCTCTTCGGAGCCTGTCTTGCAGACGGAATAAAGTCACCCCAGTGTAGATTATTTTCTTAAAAAGCTTTGAAGATCGCCTTCCTCTTCCTTTAAGGGATTTCTTCCTAGATCCTGTAACTGGAATCGATTCAACTGCGCCAGGTAAAAAGTAGGTTAGATGGAAATTTTGACAGGTGAGGGAGACAATTTGAGAGCTCTTCCTTCTTAGACAAAGGCAGGCAGTTTTGCAAGGTGGAAATGCAAAATCTGGGAGGTTCCATAGCCTTAGCAGAGCAACCAAAATGATTAGGGGACTGGAGGCTAAAATACACGCTGCAGGCATTGGGTATGTCTAATTTAAGGAAGAGAAGGGCCAGGGGTGACATGATCACAGCCTTCTAATGTTTGAGGGGCTGCCAAAGAGAAGAGGGGATCAAACGGGGCAAAATTAATCCACGTCCCACTTAGCAACCAAAAACGTTGGGCTCAATTATGGTCATAAATTGAGGACTACCTGTACTGGCATATCTTGGCTAAAGCTTTTGTGGCGTGTCAGGGAATTCTGTGTGCAGGGCTGAGAGTTGTGCAAGAAATAATCAGGAGGAAAAAAAATGTATTTTCCGTCAGTAGAAATCCATGGGTTAGGTCAGGGGTAGGCCACCTTGGCTCTTTTATGACTTGTGGACTTCAACTCCCAGAATTCCTGAGCCAGCCACGCTGAGGGGAAAGGGAGAGGTTTCCAAGCTGAGCCATGCTGGCTCAGGAATTCTGGAAGTTGAAGTCCACGAGTTGCCTACCCCTGGCGTTGACCTGTGTTTCTCAATCTTGGCCACTTGGAGATGGGTGGACTTCAACTCCCAGAATTTCTGAGCCAGCATGGGGGAATTATGGCCCCCTCATGACTTGTGGACTTCAACTCCCAGAATTCCTGAGCCAGCATGGGGGAACTATGGCCCCCTCATGACTTGTGGACTTCAACTCCCAGAATTCCTAAGCCAGCATGGGGGAACTATGGCCCCTTCATGACTGGGGGACTTCAACTCCCAGCATGGTTCAGCTTAGAAACCTCTCCCTTTCCCCTCAGCATGGCTGGCTCAGGAATTCTGGGAGTTGGAGTCCACCAGTCATAAAAGAGCCAAGGTTGCCTACCCCTGGGTTAGGTTGAGACAAAAACAAGCAGCTACGGATAAAAGCCGGGAGACGTTTTTCTTCCATGACCTCATCCAGACAGTTTGGAAGCAAAACCCCTGCTGGGCCTAACAGCTGATAGGGAGGAACAGACCGGAATTCACTTGAAGGAATCTGCTGAACCCGTGACCACAGACTGGCTTAAGAATGCTCCAAATTCTTCTCCGGTCTGCTTCCTTCCTTAATGACCTGACGTAATGTGTCTCAACCTTGGCCACTTGAAAGAATGGGAGGACTTCAACTCCCAGAATCCCCCAGCCAGCTTTGCTGCTTTAAGTTGTGTGGACTTCAACTCCCAGAATGCTTTTTTGCTTTATTTTGCTGTGCTGATCACCAAACATTCTCCAAGATTTTGTGTTGTTACCTTCCAATCTTTGCAATCTCTGCTTAGATTGTCTGGATGGGGACATCTGAAGAGCTTTGCTCTTTGCTCTTTGCCCCATTGTTTTCCTGTCCGGAGTTTGACTGATGCTTCCAAACGAGTCGTTTTTGTCCCTGGGGCCACCATCTGTCTGAAGGTCAAAAGCTGCCCCATAGCTCTCCCCCCACTTCCTTCTTTTCCCAGTCTCTTTTCTCTCTTTCACATCCACACATCCACCCTAGACAGACACCAAATACAAATACACACTCTTCTGCAGCTCCCTGTTCCATCTGGCTACCACGATGATAAAACGTGGGGACTTCTGACCTCATCTACATCTGGGGGGAGGGTTGTCAAGCAGGAGAGCCTATACCATCTCAGACAAGTGACTAGCCTCTTCTTAAAAACCTCCAGTGATGGAGCGCCCACGATTTCTGGTGGCCAGCTGTTCCACTGGTTGATTGTCCTCCTTGTCAGGAAGTTTCTCCTTAATTCCAGGTTGCTTCTCTCTTTGATCAATTTCCAACCATTGTTTCTCGTCCTTCCTTCTGGTGCTTTGGTGAATCATTGAGTATATACTTAATATATGATGCCTGCTCATATCATTGAGTATATAATATATGATGCCTGCTCAATAGATATCTACTATTACCTGCTATGATACTACTATGGATACTACTATATAGACTACTATATAGATACTACTACACCTACTGCTATAGATACCAAAGAGGCAGTAATATCCGCTCCTCTTATGAGACCAACTGATGATTTTCTGGGTTTTTTTTAGGATGCCCTTCCTGAGTTGATGTGGGAAATGGAACAGCAGCTGGGCTTATTACGACTATACGGCAATGAGAAGACGTGCGGGGAGGCAGTTGAGACAGACAGCTGGCCTAGTTCAGGTATGGGGAGAAGAAAACATGGCATTTGTTTGAATCTTGTCTCCTCTTGCGTTTTCCCTCCTTCTATGGCTGGTGTCAGAAGTGGGATCACGGGCAATCTGGCCTTCTTTGCTTGGCTGGAAATCTGGGGGGTCACAGGAGGCTGGTAACATAGATACCCCTTCTTCACCAGGTTTCTACGAGGGTCAACAATCGGCAGTGGCCTCCGATTCACCAGCTTCTGGATTTGAAGATTCTTCCTCCAGCATCCCATCAGCATCTGGGTCCTATTCCCGAATCAGCCATCTGGAATCCCGCCTTGGATATTCCAACGAGCGCCCCAACTCTGTAGGTGGGTAAGAGGAAGAAGGTGGCTTGATTGGCAGCTGGCTAGTCCTGGGTGGAGAGAGGTCAACCTGATAAAGGGGAATATTTGGAGCTCAGGTTGAAATGAGGGATCCTTGGTGTTCTCTGAGTTTGGGGTTTTTTTCTTGCAGACCTTTCATTACCTGAGTAGAGACATCATCAGTGCTAGAAGAGAGTGGGATTGGAGGGGGAGAGAGAGGAAGAGGAGGACTGTGGGGTCCCTGGTGCTCTCTGAGCTTTGTGGTGTTCTTGCAGATGTTACAGCAGGAGGAGGAGGAGGAGGAGGAGGAGGAGGAGGAGGAGGAGGAGAACGACAACTGAGGGGTCCTTGGTGCTCTCTGGGCTTAGTGGTCTTTGTGCAGACATTTCATGACCCAACTAGGTAACATCATCAGTGCCGATAGCGTTACCTAGTCCGAGTAATGAAATGTCTTCAAGAAAACCACCAAGCCCAGAGAGCACTAAGGACTCCTGACAGGTAGACTTGGATTCAGTGTGGACGATTCCCTGAAACAGCTTCAGCATTCAGAGCTTCAGGGGGTTCAACTCCCCATCTGAGCGCTCTCTCTCTCTCTCTCTCTCTCTCTCTCTCCTTCCACAGGGGACGTAGCCAACAACAGCAAGGAGAGAGCCCAAAGGAGCACCATGCCACGCTCTTTCTCAGCCCCCTACGCCTCGTCCCAAGATCCGTCTGCTGAGCCGCTGCCCACCTGCTTCCCCCCAGACCCTTTCTTGTACCCCAGCCCCCTGCATGCAGTGGCCCTGCAGAGCCCCTTCTTCCAGAGCCCCCTGTACGAGGACCCCACCTTCTCCTCAGCCGCCTCCCGGGCCTTGTCCTACCCGGAGGACTCCGATGGCAACATTGAGGCCTACGGGAACGACTTCCAGCTCTACACGGAGGCTGCCTCGCAGGGCCAGCGGGTGGAGGGCTACATCTCCCGTCTCCTCCGCCGCCGCAGCCAGCTGGTCAGAGGCAGCAAGCCCCGGACGAGCCTCAGCTCGGAGCCGTCGGCCAAAGGCGGCGTGGTCCGGCAGAGCAGCCTCTGCAAGCGACCCACCGAGCTGCTATCCCTGCAGGCCGAGCGCAGGCACCCTCCGGCCATGGAGAGGGGCAGCAGCACCCCCTCGCCCTGCGGCCACGAGGGGGGCGCTGCTGTCACCACCACCCGTGTCTGGTCTTCATGGGACGCTGCAGCCGAGAGGACTTTGGCCGCCAAGACGGTGGCGGAGGACTTTCACCCACCTCCGTCCAGTCTCCGGAAACCCCCCAAGCTGCAGGCGTTGGCCCAGGGGAGGTCTCCCTCCCTAGACCCCTACGACACTCTCTATCCCTCATCCCCTCTGTTGGACAGGGAGGAACGGTCCTCACGGGGAAGCGTCCAGGAGCCAGTCTCCTACGAGTCTGAGGAAGGAGGTTGCCTGATGGTCAAAGCCCAGTACATCCCTGCCCAGCAGCCCCCTTGGGCCCAGCAGGCTCACCGGGCGGGCAGGAAGAAGCCCCCACCCCTGAGCAAAGGCCGCTCGGTGGAGCTGTCGCCCGAGCAGGTCCCTCTGCTGGTGAGGGAACGTCCGCGGGTTGTGGCCCCTGCCAAGAAGTGCCGCTTTACAGAAGAGGGGAGTGACGGGGCTGCGAGAAAGGGGGGCGGGAGGAAAAGTTCCCCCAAATCCAAGAAAGCGGCTAGATCTCAATCGGAGAACAGCCTTCTGAACAGGTCCCGGCTGAAATACGGGACTGTGGACCGGGAGGAATCAGCACAGAAACCGTCCCGGCAACGTCGGTTGCACAGGAACACGGGCAGTGGCTACCGCAAGTGGAGTTCAACAGCTGAGCTCTCTCAAGAGGAGCTGTCTCCCGGGAGCACCGTGGAGCCACCACGGGGCCAACAGGGGCCAGGCCCTGCAGGGTACACCTACCCAGGCAGTGACTCCGAGTATTCTGGCGAGCCAGCCAGGAGGGCCCCCGTGTGCCGCCTGGAGGAGAGCCTCGTTGGTGGAGACAGCGACTCCAGCCTGAGCGACAGGGACTCACCCCCACCGTACAGCAGCGGCGCATCCAGTGATACGGACGAGAGTGGGGGTCTCGTGTGGCCGCAGCAGCTCTCCCCGCAGCTGGTGTCGGCATCCGGCCCGGGAAAGGCTGCCAGCGGGCAGCCCAAAGTGTTCGTCAAGATCAAGGCTTCTCACGCACTCAAGAAGAAAATTATGCGCGTCCGGTCCGGCTCGCTCAAAGTCATGACGACGGTGTAAAGAAGCACTGTTGGTTCCTGCAACGTCCTGTTGGCTCCCCGACTTTTGTGGGGGGGGGGCGGCAGAAAGTTCCCCTTGAATGTGTCTCCTCTTCCCTTTCAGCAGCCAGAAGCCAGCAAGGTGCCGGTCCAGGCGCTGCTCAGCTTTAAGTCTGGGTTGGAAAGAAAAACACTGGAAAAAACGAGGCAGCCTTGGATGGAAGGGAGATTTGGGACGCTTTTCTCTTTCCCGGAAACTGTTGAGACTGCGGCTTCCTGGCTCCCCTTCTTGCTAATTCCATCCATTCTGAACGGAGAAGTATTTATAATGGCTTTCTTTTCTTTCTTTCCTTCCTTCCCCTTTCTTTTTTCTTTCTTTCCCTTCTTCCTTTCTTTCAGTTCTTTCTTTTCCTTCTCTTCTTTCTCTCTCTGCTTTTTTTCTTTCTTTTCTTTCTTTCCTTCTCTTCTTTCTTTATTTTTTTCCTTTTTCTTCCTTCTTCCTTCTCCCTTTTTTCTTTCTTTCCTGTTCTCTCTCCTCCACCTTCCATCCTTCTTTCCTTCCTGCCTGCCTGTATTTCTCCCCTCCTTCTTCCTCTTCTGCCTCCTCTTTCTTTCTTTCTTTCTTTCTTTCTTTCTTTCTTTCTTTCTTTCTTTCTTTCTTTCTTTCTTTCTTTCTCTTTCTTCCTTCCCCTCTCTTTTTTCTTTCTGTCCCTTCTTCCTTCCATTCAGTTCTTTCTTTTCCTTCTCTTCTTTCTCTCTCTGCTTTTCCTTTTTTTTCTTTCTTTCCTTCTCTTCTTTCTTTATTTCTTTCCTTTTTCTTCCTTTTTCCTTCTTTTTTGTTTCTTTCCTGTTCTCTCTCCTCCACCTTCCATCCTTCTTTCCTTCCTGCCTGCCTGGATTTCTCCCCTCCTTCTTCCTCTTCTGCCTCCTCTTTCTTTCTTTCTTTCTTTCTTTCTTTCTTTCTTTCTTTCTTTCTTTCTTTCTTTCTTTCTTTCTTCCTTCCTTCCTTCCTTCCTTCCTTCCTTCCTTTCTTTCTTTCTTTCTTTCTTCCTTCCTTCCTTCCCTCCCTCCCTTCCATCTTTCCCCCTCCTCTTCCTTTCTTTCTTCTTTCTCCCTTCTTTCTTCTCCCAGACTTCTCAAGAGTCCACGTTTTGTTTTAAAACTCCAAAAACTTGAGTCCACCCTGCCAATCTTGTCTACAGATATTTCTTCTCGCTGTGTAAATAAAAATCTATGGTTTTGTTTGTGTGTGTTTTAGTCGAAAAGCTACTGGAATCAACCTTTGGTTGGGCCACCTGGTTCCCAAAAGGAACCTTTCAAAAACCAAGACTTTAAAAAGAAGAAGCAACTTGCAGAATAGATCTCTCCTACCCACCGAAGCAGAGCCTGTTTCACCTCTAGGTTGACCTCCCAAATGTTTAGGCTAAAAGGGGGCAACTTGGACCTCTCAGGGCTCTGGTGATTAATCCCCACCGCAAGCGGGAGAGTCTTGAACTTCCTGTTTGAGCCCATAAACTGCAGCAGACCAACTCTTCCTGGGGCCCGCTGTAAATCACTGCTAAAGCTGATGCACGCTCCCGAAGAACAGAAAACTCTCCGAGGGCTAAACTCATGGCTTGGTTCATCAACTTATAAGTCACAGCAAAATCCCCAATGCTCTCTCTCCATCCGATCTTGTAGCTGGGGAATTTGCAGGGCTCTGAAAGGGAGGCTGGTGGTTACAATGGTCCCACGAAACCCCGTTGCACCGTACAAGCAACTTTGCGGAGGGTTTTTGTTTTTGTTTTTTCTTTTTTAGCTCCCAAGCACTGAGATGTGTTTGCAGGGCTCTCCAAACTTGGCAACTTTTTAAGACTTGTGGACTTGATCTGTTTACTCTCCAGCCACTCAAGGATAAACAGAAAATACTACTGTAGTAAAAGGGGTGGGTGGCCAGGGGGATTACTCACTGGAGGAGGCGAAATTCAGGTAGCCCTTGACTTACGCTCACAACCGAGTCCATTATTTCCGTCGCTAAGCGGGCCTTTTTGTTGAGTGGGCTTCGCCCCATTTTACGACCTTGTTGAGTGAAACGCTGCAGTTAGGGTAAGAGGGTTGCTCAAAGTCCGTTGACTTTGCCGGTCACAGGGTCTCAAAAGGGGGATCACGTGACCTGCCCCCGGACGCTGCAGCTGTCGTAAATGCGAGCCAGGGTCCAAGCGCCTGAATTTTGATCACAGGACTTTTGGGGATGCCGCAACGGTTGTGTGTGTGAAAAGTGGTCATAAATCCCCTTTTTTGGGGGGGGGAGTGCCGTTGTAAGTTCGAACGGCCACTAATTGAACTAAGTCAAGGACCACCTGCACCCCTCCTGACCTTGGGAGGGTGAGCTGGAAAGGAAGAAAACAGCCCCAATTTCTCTGGGTCTCCTGTTGCAATTCCAACCCCCCCCCCCGCCGCCACCATAATTGTCCCATCGCTCAGCTCCCAGTTGTGCATCATGGCACAAACTCACGTCCTTTCCCCCTGTGCTGCTCAGGGGCTCAGCTGCACTTTCCATCCGGCTATCTGGGGTCCATCTCTCCCTCTGCCCCCCCCCCGCAGCCCCTCCCCTCCCCCCATCCCGTTCAGGCTCCCTTTGCTTCCAGCTCCAACAGCCTGGCCGGCCCAGAGGCCCTTATGAGAAGCAGATGTTTGCCCCAGCGCCAGGAAAGGCAGCCAGCCAGGCTGTCCAAATGTTTTCCCCTGGAACGTGGGGCACCTCCCCTCCCTTCCTTCCCAGTTGGGGGGGGGGGCTGGCTGGGAGGCCTCTCCCTCCTGCCCCTTTCCTTGTAAGCAGTCTTTGCAGTCCTGCTGCAGTTATTTTAAGGGTGGGCTTGGGTGGGTGGTCTTATCCTCTCCTCCTCCCTCCCCCCCTCCTCGTCCTCCTTGCAATTAACCAGTTAAGAGCAATTGATCAGTGGAACAACTTGCCTCCAGAAATTACGGGTACGCCATCCTTGCAGGTTTTTAAAAAGAGATGGGACAGCCGTTTGTCTGAAATGATCTAGGTATGCTTGAGCAGGGGGTTGGACTAGAAGACCTCCAAGGTGCCTTCCAACGCTGTATTCAGTTATTCTGCTTTTCCTCCTCCTCCTCCTCCTCCTCCTCCTCCCTCCTTTCCAGCCAAAGCCAAGAAGACCCCCCCCCAAAGTCCGACCAGTAACTCAGGCAGGGGTGCAGCAAGGAACCTCTTCCCGGGGTTTTGCCTGCTCCACCCAGCCTGACTGGTGGGGGTCCCAATTGGCACCAGCCAAGCGGCTGAGCTGGGGCGACTGGCCGAAACTTGAGCTGGAGGGAAGAAGAGGGGTGGGAAAGCTTGTCGCAGGCAGCCAGCGTTCCTTCGTTCGGCTCTCCACTCTGCTGACTTGAACCTCGCAGGCGGACAGGGCCTCTCCTAATCTTTTCCAGATGGGAGACAAAGGACCCCTCCCCTTTTCTCCTGTCTTACTCTAGGGCCCGAGGCGGCTTCTCCCAAACCAGCCGTTGCTGAATATTAGGAGGGTTTGCAAAGGCGGGTGAGTCGAGCAGGGAGAAGGCCATATAAAGCCATCCCGCCGAGAGATAGCCGAAGTCATAACATTCTCCTCCTTTGCAACAACAGAGTTGTTAAAAGTTTCACAAGAGGGGAAATCTGCCTGCCTGCTGGACGGGACTGAGCAGGCCCGCCAATCAATCAGAATAGAGCTGGAAAGGGACCTTAGAGGTCTTGTAGTCCACCCTCCTGCTCAAGCAGGAGGCCCTATGCCGTTTCAGACAGGTGGCTGTCCAGTCTTTTCTTAAAAACCTCCAGTGATGAAGCACCTAGAACTTCTGGTGGCAAGCTATTCCACTGGTTAATTGTCCTCGCTGTTAGGAAGTTTCTCCTTAATTCCAGGCTGCTTCTCTCCTTGACTAGTTTTCATCTGTTGTTTCTCGTCCTTCCCTCTGGTGCGTGGGAGAATAACGTGACCCCCTCTTCTTTGGGGCAGCCCCTTAAATACTGGAATACTGCTATCATGTCGCCCCTTTTTTATTTTCTTTAGACTAGACAATTTGGGGCTCCCGTGTTGTCGTTAAGCCGAGGACTGGCCATGCAAAGAAACAAATCACTGGCAAGCTCAGAACTGCAGGATATGGGTGGGTGGGAACCGATTCCTCTTGTGTGCCTGCATGCCGGCTGCATTCCTACAAAGCCGTTAACCTGGTTACTCTGCTGACCCATTTCTGGATGTACAGAACGACCCCGGAGTCTAAACTCAGTCTGCACAAGCCATGAAGCCACCCACCCCCTCAGATCCCGGTTTCTGCCAGCTTGTTCCCACGTCTTGCAGGATGTCGTCTCCAGGCCACAGCGCCCTGAATGGAGGCATTGGAAGAGCTGAGCCTTGGAAGGGGGGGGGAGTCACAGAAGTCTGGTGTATCCACCCCTCCCCATGCCCGCCTTCCGGGAGATGCTTGTCTTCCTCACCCACCAGGCAGAAGGAGGCAGGTGCTGGTGGCAGGGTTGCTATGGCGACTGCACCAACCAGCTTCATCTTCTGCAGAGTCAGTTGAGGATGAGCAGAGGAGCTAAGAAGATGGGGAGAATGGATGGGGGGGGTGTTAATTTCTCTCCCCCCGCCTGGTCTTATCCAGCAGGTCTTCCTTCCAGCAAGCAACCTTCACTCCAGAAAGGCTGCAGAAGCCAATTAACCCCCCCTCCCCTTGGCAGCAGTCTTAAGCAAGGAAGGCTAAGTTCCTAGTCCTCATGGTGTACTTTGTGGGCTGAAGGAGGGCAACCCAGAGGAATGGGGGGGGGCTTTTCTCCAGCAAAGGAGGATTTTTCCAGTCTGGTGCTCTGGAGGGGGAGACCTTCTGACTGGCACTGCCCCCCCCCAAGCCTTGCTTCGAAGTGGCTGGCAAAGACGAGGCTGAACTGTCCAATGGGTGCTTTTGAACGATCCCCCCTGGGAAGGAAGGCCAGGGATGCTGGGAGCATGTGCAGAGTGCCTTTCTCCTGGGTGAAGCCAATATTTTTTTCCTTTGGTTCTAAGGGCCGAATCAAAATTTTTCTATATCTGTGTAGCACAGTCTTTTTCAAGCGTGGGAAGTTTAAGATGCTCGGACTTCAATTCCCAGAATTCCCCAGCCAGGATCCTAATGAACTCAAACTCAGGTGGACTTCAACGCCCAGAATTCCTCAGTTCACATGCTAATGAACTGGAAGATGGGTGGACTTCAACCCCCAGAATTCCCCAACCAGCATGCTAATGAAATCCAAGCATCGAGAAAGTTTTCAAGGTTGAGAAATACTGTGGTATCATCTCTCTCCCCCTCCTCCCTCCCTCTTCCTTTTTCTCCTTCCCTCTTTCTTTTGCTCCTACCTTCTTTCTTTTCTTCCCTTCTTCCTTTTTGTTTCTCCTTCCTTCCTTCCTTCCTTCCTTCCTTCCTTCCTTCCTTCCTTCCTTTCTTCCCTCCTCCCTTCCTCCCTCCATTCCTCCCCCCCATCTATCTAGTGTCTTTTCTTCATAGGGACGGAAATGTACACATTCACACACTCACATATAACGTAAAAGTACACCCAGAACTGTTGCACCCAAAAGCTACCGGCATCTTTTAAAAGGGGGGGATTCTCAAAGCAACTTTCAGCAGCTGTTTGATGGACCTTTCCCCACTTTGCACTCCTCTTTTCCTTAAAAAAAAAAAAAAGTGAGGATTTGCCCACTCTCAAATCCCAGGATTAGTAGCTGAGAAGGATTTAAGCTCCCCTTTTCCTTGTAGGGCTCCCTCACTGGCCCCCTTCTGCAGGTAGACTGCCCTTAGCCATCACTCTCTTCCTATCCAGCAACAAAAAGCTGAGTTTTGGTCTCTCCTCTGTGAATCTGCAGCCCTCCTTCCCCGTCCCGGCTGAGGTCCGGCTGTCTGGCAAAGCGCTGATCTCTTCCAGACGCTGCCCCAGGAATTCTCTCCGCCCCCCAGGGTTAATTTTAGCCCCCCCTGCAGCCCCCTTATCGCAGCTGGTGAAAAGGGAGCCAGAGGTGGGCGCGTCAGAGCAGGCCAAAGGAACTGGACACTCATTTGGCCTCAGATCAGGGTCCGATGCAACTTGCACAAAAGTCGCACACCTACACAAAAGTACTCCACACATACACACACAGGGAGACACACACACAGACACCCGCTGCCTGCCGTCCACTGTGTTGGAGAGAGAGAGAGATCACAAAGTCTTGAAGAGACAAACGGAGATACAGTCCAGGGATAAGATCATTTAGTGACCGTTCAAAGCTACAACGGCGCCAAAAAAAACAACTTGGGACCACATTTCACACTTACGACCGTTGCGTCATCCCCGTGCTCACGAGGTTTAGGTTCAGACGCTTGAGAACTGACTCACATTTATGACGGTCACAGTGAACCGGGATCCTGCGATCCCCTTCTGCGACCTTCTTACGAGCAAAGCCAAGGGGGAAGAAGCGAGATTCGCTTAACGACCGACTTACTAATTTAACAACGGCAGGGATTTACTTAATAATTGTGGCAAGTAAGATTGTCAAACGGGACAAAATGAACAAGTGTCTCACTTAGCAAGAGAAAGTTGGACTCAACATTTGGGAATTTGGTGGAGGGGAACTGGGAATGGGCAGGAGGGCCTGATCCAAGGCCGATCTGGGGAGGAGGAGGCCCAATTCCTGCCAGGAGTCAATACACATTTCCCTTGTAGTCAAATCGTGTACCTCCAAGATACTGTAAAGTGGTATTTTGCAATGTCAACAACTTGAAGTTGTGTGGACTTCAACTTCCCCAACCAGGAATTCTGGGAGTTGAAGTCTATACCCTCAAGTTCAACAGATGGTGCCCAGGAATTCTGGGAGTTGAAGTCCTCATGTTTTCAAGTTCAAAGATGGTTGAGCAGGGAATTCTGGGAGTTGAAGTCCACATATCTTCAAGTTGCCAAAGTTGAGAACCACTGCATTACCAGGCGATGTGAATCAGGCAAACCACATATTATGTGAGCCTAGACATTCCCTTTTGATCACTCAGGTCTAGCAAGTTGACTGATCTCCAAATTTGGTAGTGGAATCCAATTTCAGGGGCTGGAAAGAATTTCCAAGAATATTTGTTCATACTGTGAAGCAGATGCATTCCACGGGGCGATTTTCTTGCCTGCTCTGCCCCCCTGTGGCCAACCTCAGCACTGCACCCAAGGATTTCTCCCCCCAAACATCGCGGGCGGAATTTTACAAAATTCTGGATTTTATTCTAAAAACGTCTTGTCCACCTGGGATATCCCGAGCTACTTTTCACCCCGTCCTTTGTCTTGTAAAACAAAAAATAAAGCATAAGATAAACATCATCTCTTGCGATTGGTGGCCCTAAGCCCACTTCCTATTAAACTTGGTTAGTTCAGCACTGTTGTTACTTTGAATAATCACTAAACGAGTGATTATAAGTCTAGGGCTAGCTGTTGCTGGCTCTCCATGCAGTGTTTCAAAGTTAACAACTTGAAGATGAGTGGACTTCACCTCCCAGAATTCCCTAGCTAGCATGGAAGTTGAAGTCTTCACATCTTAAAAGTTCACTAGCATGCTGGCTGGGGAATTCTGGGAGTTGAAGTCCACACATCTTTTAATTCAATTGCGTGCTGGCTAGGGAATTCTGGGAGTTGAAATCCACCCATTTTCCAGTTTATTGCTGTGCCAGCTGGGGAATTCTGGGAGTTGAAGTCCACATCTTTTAATTCAATGGCGTGCTGGCTAGGGAATTCTGGGAGTTGAAGTCCACCAGTTTTCAAGTTCACTAGCATGCTGGCTGGAGAATTCTGGGAGTTGAAGTCCACAAATCTCCCAATTCAGTATGAAGCTGGCTGGAGAATTCTGGGAGTTGAAGTCTTCCCCCCCTTCAACTTCATTAACATGCTTGTTAGGGAATTCTGGGAGATGAAGTCCTCAGTTCTTCAAGTTGCTAACCTTGAGAAACACTGAACGTGAAAACCTCTAAATGCTCCCATAAACCAGGCATCCAACCTCAGATCCTCTGCCCCCCCTCCCCTCTGCGTATAAAGCGGCTTCTCCTGGGGGGGGGGGCAGCCACCAACAGCAGGTCTCTTCTTTTCTTTGTCTGCAAAACCCCAGCAGGGACCTTCACCAGCTGCTTACACCACCCAGAGACCAAGCCAGTCACTCTATGAAGCTGCAACAGGTAGGAGCCGTGCGTGATTCTCACGTTCTCTGTCTTATTCTTTGAACCCAGGGCCACTCAATTTGGAGGGGGGGGGGATTAGAGAAGGAAGACCTCCCCTTTGGACAGCATGGGCTCCAAGGGGAGCTAGTATTTGGTACCCCAAATTCTGGAGAAGTGATGGATGAACCAGGCAGATGCATCCATCAATGCTGCATCCTTCTAAGCCTGGATTTGGGGTGGAGGGAGGGGTTTCGGGATTCGGGAACCCTCCCCCCCCCTCTTGAGCAAAGCCAGGGGTTTAATTGCTTCTTAGGATCTGGGTTTTGAGGGATGTATTTTAGAGGGTCAAAAATCCCAAGGCATCTGGTAGCATCTCTTCTGGGTAACAGATTTGATCCACAGGCATAAAAAGCTGATGCTTTTTCTTAACCGTTTCTTTATTCCGTTTCGACATCCCACCTTAAAAGACAAACCAAGAGAATGATGAAAAATATAGGAAGTGACCGAAAAGACATCAAAGATAACAAAAGTGACCTCTGGATTTCTTTTAGGACAGAACTATTAATCAAACCAGCAGCTTTTTGTAATTTTGGAGAAATAACACCGAAAAACTCAGCGTAGTTTTCACGAAACGTTCTTCATGAAACATTCTTCTCTTGATTTCATCTAAAAGATAGTAAGAGATCAGAAGTAAACAGAAAGTTACCTATGGCTAACATTGCGAGCCAAGAAGGGAATATTCAGAATATTAGCAGCTTAGAAGACACCAAAATTTCATGTACTGCAGGAAATACTATATTGGCAGCCCTTCAGCTTCCCACAGGAAATGAGGACTTAATAACTATAAAGTACCAGATGCTTTTCCACTGCAATTAAAAATTAATTTAATTTAAAAGTTTTAAAACCGGCTGGCTTTATTTACCTTTGTTTATCACTATCCAGAGTTGCTGGGCAGTCTCCGAATATGATATATAAATAAATAAAATAAAAATCTTTTGGGGGAAAGCAAATTTGAATGTTTAACTCGTTCCTAGCTTAGTCCTTGTTGAAAAACAGGTCTGACCTTCCTTTGTGTTTTTATTTCTGCATTTCTACCCAGGAGGGGGGGGGAGCAGGAAAAATGCAGCCATTTGCATCACCGCAGTTTCTTTAGCCCTTTGCATCATAATTTTATTTATTATGAAATTATGTGCCGCCCATCTTGCTTAAAGATGAGTCTAGGCAGCTTAGAACAAAGAAAAATAACAGGATAAAACCTTAACACGTTGCAATAATTAATAGTAGTGTTACAAATTTTATTTTAAAATGGTTCTGTTTTAAATGTTTTAGCCATTTTAAGTTTTAGCCATTTTAATCCAACGAGGAGGCTTGCTTGTGCCAGCCGCTCTAATCTAAGTTGTAAAAGCTACCATCTCTAATGCTAATTTCTCTGCTCTTGAGGTCCGACTCCCTTCTTTGTGCAAGTCAGACAGAGGAGATCTCCAGGGATCACTTGCTCCCTTCCTGATATTTATCTGTGCAAAGCAGAGATGAGGGAGCTGCCTTCTCCCTTGGCATCAGGTGCCAGCTGAGTGGATTGGGTCCCAGCTGGCAGGGCAGGGCAGCAGAAAGACCTGGCTTTCCTACCAGGAAAGCAGAAAAAGCAGTAAAAGCCCTCTGCGTATGCTCAGAGTCTTCCTTTCTTGGCAACTGGCATTGGACACCTGAACTCTGCAAGCCTGGTTTTGCCTACCTCTGATGCAAACTCCCAATTGTATCTCTTCCCAGAATCCCCCAGCAACCGAGTAAAACAACCGAGCAAACCGCCAGAAACATTTTTGGATTCCAAATTTGGGGTTTGCCCCCAGAAACTGGGAAGAGGGGGGAAGAGAGTGGCTCGACCCACCTTGCAGGTTTCAAAAGGACTCTGCATATTCTCAGAGGCACTGGGGCCTGCTGAGGTCAAAATGGACTCTTAACTGAATAATAGAACAGAATATTTGTCCAAAATGGTATAGGGTTTCCTGCCTGAGCAGGGGGTTGGACTAGATGACCTCCAAGGTCCCTTCCAACTTTATTATTATTATTATTATTGAGTTGGAAGGCACTCTGGAGGTCTTCTAGTCCAACACCCTGCTCAGGGAGGAGATACTATAGCATTCTGGAGAAATAGTTGTCTAGTCTCTTCTTAAAAACCTCCAGTGTTGGAGCAGCCACAACTTCTGGAGGCAAGTGGTTCCATTGAATTAATTAGTTAACAATTAATTGTTCTCAGTGTTAGGGAATTTCTCCTTAGTTCTAGGTTGTTTCTCTCCCTGATTAGTTTCCATTTTCAGGCGTTTTGGAGAATAGCTTGACTCCTTCTTCTTTGGGGCAGCCCCTGAGATATTGGAAGGCTGCTATCATGTCCCCCCTCATCCTTCTCTTCATTAAACTGGACATACCTAATTCCTGCAAACATTCTTCATGTGTTTTAGCCCCCAGACCCCTAATCATCTTTGTTGCTCTTCTCTGCGCCCTTTCCAGAGTCTTCTCATCATTTGTTTTTACATCGTGATGAGCAAAACTGGATGCAATATTCCTAGTGTGGCCTTACCAAGGACATCTTGCACATCTTGTAAGAAAAGTAGCCTTTAAAAGAGAGGGGGCTGCTTCGAAGACCCCCTGCTACCCTGGTACATCTTGTGCCACGTCCCCCATCCCCAAATAACCTCTGGCTGAGTCCTAAGCTTTTTTCTGCAGTCGCTTCCTCCCGTCTCCCACACAGGAGGGCTGCGCAATTAGCTGCTGACTTTGAACCTCAAGAAGCAGAACCCGCAGCGGGGGGGGGGGTTTAAAGAGGAGCTAATTAACGGCATTTGCCCCCTGCCAGTGCTGGCTCCACCCGGTGGGGATCCCGTTGGTGCCCTTTTTCTTTTGGAAAGTAGGGCAGGCTTTGAATGTCCCACTGTCACCCGGTCCCTTCATCTCGCTGGCAGGGCCGCCCCCCCCATCTCATTTTCCCTTTAATTCTGGCAAGAAAGATAGCTGGATGTAAGAAACAAACATTGGTTAACTGGCCTCTGGAAAGAGTGCAGAGAAGAGCAACGATGATTAAGGGGCTAGAGGCTAAAATATACGAAGAACGGTTGCAGAAAATGGGTAGTGAAGAGAAGGATTAGGGGTGACATGATAGCCGTGTTCCAATATTTGAGGGGCTGCCCCAAAGAAGGGAGGGTCAAGCTATTCTCCAAAGCCCCTGAAGGCAGGAAAGAAGCAACGGGTGGAAACTAACCAAAGAGAGAAGCAACCTGGAACTAAGGAGAAATTTCCTAACAGTGAGGACAATTCACCAGTGGAACTCCTTGCCTCCAGAAGCGGTGAATGCTCCAACACTGGAAGCTTTTAAGAAGAGACTGGACAACCATTTGTCTGAAATGGGATAGGGTTTCCTGCCTGAGCAGGGGGTTGGACTAGATGACCTCCAAGGTCCCTTCCAACTGTGTTATTCTGTTCTGCTATTTTCCCTTTAATTCTGGTACGAGTGATGGCTGGACGTAGGAAAGAAACGTTGGTTAATTCGTCTCTAGAAAGAATACAGAAAAAAGCAACAAAGATGATTAAGAGACTGGAGGCTAAAACATAGGAGGAACGGTTGCAGGAACTGGGTATGTCTAGTTAATTGTGTTACTTGTGTTCCTCTGAAAAGGGGCTTTTTAAAATTGGGGTAGGCTGGTCATGAAGTGGGACAGTTAGACACAAGTATGGACCGTGCAACTTTTCTGGGCCAGGCTTGTGTGTGTGGGTTTGTGGAGAAGTGCATTCTGAATGTCGAGGTCTGTGTTGATGGCAAATGCAAAATTTCTACTTTGCATGAGTATCTTCTCATCTGGGAAGGGACACTGTGCTTCCCCACCAGCTGTAGCTGCGAACGCACAACTGGCTCGTCTCTGTGTGCCAACCGGCTGGCCGAAGGTGTGCCTCCCTGCGTAGAACATGTCCAACAACATGGCCAAGATTGCGGAGGCTCGCAAGACAGTGGAGCAGCTGAAACTGGAGGTCAACATCGATCGCATGAAGGTAAAGAGATGCCAGTCCCTTGGAGCCAGGAAGTGGGCCCCAAATGTTGGATGCTCAGTCAACAGGGGCCCAGGGCTGCTCCTGAAGTAAGCTGGTGCAGTAGTCCACCTAAAGGCTTCAGGAGCCAAGGGAGTGGGCCTCAACTATTGCATGCTCACTGAACAGAGGCCCAGGGCTGCTCCTTAAGTAATACAGTACAGTAGTCTAGCTAAAGGCTTCGGGAGCCGAGGGAGGGAGCAGCCTCAAATGTCAGATGCTCACCGAAGAGATGCCCAGGGCTGTTCCTGGAGCAAGGTGGTGCAGTAGTCCAGCTAAAGCCTGCCTGTCGCGCTTCCCCCTCCCTCACCTGTGCAGGTGTCCAAAGCGGCAGCCGATCTCCTGGCCTACTGCGAAGCCCACGCCAAGGAGGACCCCCTGGTCACCCCCGTCTCAGCGGCGGAGAATCCCTTCCGAGAGAAACGGCTGTTCTGCATCGTGCTGTGAGCCAAGACGGACCCCTCCCCAATTTCTCTTGCCTCCGCCTTCGGTAAGACGCCCCTCCCCAAAGTAATTCAGCAGAGAGAAAAAAAAAGGAATTTAATGGGGAGGGAATGGCATCACACAAGCAGGCTTCGATTTCTTAACCGTTCATTTAACGACTACTCAACATCACGGAAAAAAAGGGACTGAGGAGCGGTCCTCACACTTATGACCATTGCAGCATTCCCCGTGGTGATGGGATTAAAATTCAGACGCTTGGCAACTGACTCATTTTTACGACAGTCACAGGATCCCGGGGCCATGCAATCCTTTTTTGAGAACTTCTGACCAGCAAAATCAATGGGGGAAGCTGGTTTTGCTTAATGACCGTGTGTTCACTTAACAACTGCAGTGCTTCGCTTAAAAAGGTCCTAGAGTGGGCGCAACTCACTAAACAACCGTCTTGCTTAGTGATGGCAAATCTGGCCCGAATTGTCGTCGTAAGTCGAGGACTACCTGCATACCACCGGCGTTTTTTTTCTTCCACTTATCTTTCATATCATACAGGCAGTCCTTGACTTACGACCACAACTGAGCCCGTTTTTGTTGCTAAGCGAGACATTTGTTAAGTGAGTTTTGCTTTCTTGCCACAGTTGTTAAGTGAATCTCTGCAGTTGTTAAGTCAGTAACATGGTTGTTAAGTGAATCTGCCTTTCCCATTGGCTCTGCTTGCCAGAAGGTCGCAAAAGGGGATCACTTGACCTGGGACACAGCGACCGTCATAAGTACGAGTCAGTTGCCAAGCATCCGAATTTGGATCACGTGACTATAGGGGTGCTGCAATGGTCATAAATCTGAAAAATCCCTTTTTTCAGTGCCGTTGTAATTTTGAACAGTCACTAAATGAACTGTCGTAAATTGAGGACAACCCATACCTGGAAGGTTGAGCTTCTGAGTTTTGTTTTATTCCTTTTTCATCTGTTTTCTCTAATGTTTGTGTTTTTTAAAATTTCCCTCCAGTTTATATATCTGAACTGTCTCTTCCAAGGTGAATAAGCAGCATCCTCTAACAAGTGGAAGAGGCCTGGCTTTAACTGAAAGCAAGCAAGCTCCTAGTCCTCACCGTCACCGAGATCCAGTTGCCTGGAAGATGAAAACCTCCAGTTGTCCAATCACATGAATTTTCTTTGTCCTGGTTTACTCTAATAAAAGTTTAGTTGTTTCTTTCCACCTCTTTGCTCTTGTTTTTCGCCCAAACCTCGACGGATCTTCGTCCGTAACTCATTAAGAAGCATCTGCAAGACATAACCGGCCTCCGAGTTATTGATTCAGCCTTCGCTCTGCTTTCTGCTGCGTCGGAATGACTGAATCACCTTCCGTCATCACGAAATCGTTACCTCAACTCAAAGAGATCTGGAAATGAAAATTGCCAGAAACATATTATGAATTTTCCGGAGCCAAATCCAATTTGCAAAGCACCGCAGAGGAAGGAGACAGCAACGCAGGCGCCATCTGGGGCAGAATTCCACTTAGTGCCTCTGCAAACCATCTTTTTAGCATTAAATTTTTTTTAAAAAAAATTGCAATTGCAGGTGCTTAACTTACGGCTGTTCGGTTAGCAAGCACTCCAAGTTACGACAGCACGGATGACACCCCCCCCAAGTCTTCCCTCCTGGGGCCACCAGGGATGCCGCTGCTTCTGGCCGCGGGCGGCTGATGCACCGAGATGCTCAGCAGCAGCAGCAGCGATCCCGAGGGGGGGGGGTGACCATCCTGCAGCAGGGTCCTTATCTGAGGAACCGGTTCCAAGCCTCCTCCTGCATGTCCCCCCTCCCATCCCAACTGCCCCCCCCCATCCTTGCAAGGAGAGAAACAGCCACCCCCCCTCCCCCAGTCTCTCTCACACTCTTCCCTCTGATTCACCTCGACCGGACCGGCCGGGCGTAATTTCTTGGCAGAGGAACCTCCCCCTCCCCCCAGAAAAACATCCGAAAATCTCCCTACGGCCCAAAATTCTGGGGGGGGGGAAGGAAATGTTATTTTTATCGGTTGTCCACTAAGCAGCAGCACAGGATTTGTTTGGCAGCTGCCGAGGGTGTGTCTGTGTCTTTTGGGCAAGGCGTGTTGGAAATGGCCATCTTGGAATGAGATGGTTCTTCGGGGGCAGGGCGGTTAGGAAGAAAAGGATCTTGTAACCCAGTTGGATCCTGATCCTTAAGACTTCGAGTGACGAAACTCACCTCAAAGAGACCCAGAGCGTTTCAGCTCAGCACAGGTCAGTTTAGGCTAGACGAGGAAAGTACTCTAGGTCAGTGCTTCTCAACCTGTGGGTCGGGACCCCATTTGGGGTCGAATGACCATTTCACGGGGGTCGTTTTTTTCCCCCTTTTCCTTAGCTGTGCTACTCCCTTTTATTCTATTGGCTTTTGAAAGCCAACAGAATAGTCTCTTTTGAATAGAGTCTAATTCTATTGGCTTTCAAAAGCCCATAGGAATTGTCCAGGCTGTCTCTGCCCTGCTGAGCCCGCCAAAAGTCTCATTCTGCAAACGGTGCTGCACCAGTTGAGTAGTCCTCGACTTACGACTGGTTGAGTAGTCCTCGACTTACGACCGGTTGGGGGTCGCGGCATTAAAAAGGTTGAGAACCACTGCTCTAGGTAATCCTTGATTTACAACCGTTCGTTCAGCATCTGTTGAAAGTTACGACAGCACTGAAAAAAGGGACTTCTATTTTCCCCACAACAACAATCCTGTGAGGTTGGTTGGGTTGAGAGGGAGGGAGTGGCCAGAAGGCACCCAGTTGGCTCTTGTGCCCAAGACAGGACTAGAACTCCCAGTTACCTGGTAAATGGCTCAACGTCACCTAGACGGCTTTCACGCCTAAGGCGGGACTAGAACTCACTGCATCCTGGTGATTGGCCCAAAGTCACCCAGACGGCTTTCATCCCTAAAGTGGGACTAGAACTCACCGCCTCCTGGTGATTGGACCAAACCCAACCAGTTTTCATCCCTAAGGCAGGACTAGAACTCGCCGTCTCCTGGTTTGTAGACCAACATCTTAACCACTACACCAAACTATCTCTGTGTGATGGTTTTGGGTGTGACGTTCTCCCACAAGGATGACAGGATGTGGACCGCTCTGATTCTTACACAATGGCTGGTCTGCTTTCCCACGTAAACCAGCGCTCAGGTTTCTAAATACGTCAGTGGAAACCGCCATCCCATCCCGGATGGACACTCGGAGCGAACAAATAACGCCACTTAAGAGTCAGCCGGCTGTGCCAAGATGCCTCCGCCAGAAGAGGGCTAATTAATCATAAAGCCGTCACAAGCTGTACCACGCAAGAGAGATGGATTGCAGAACGAGAATCCATTTCTTATAGCCAAATAGGGCACGGCTACCATGTCCGCATCAGTTTGGGTGTAGGTCGAGGATAACTTGCAAGCATCTGTTTAGCGATTGTTCAAAGTTACTACAGCACTGAAAAAAGGCCGGTTCTCACAACAACAACCATTGCAGTCACTGTCCCCATAGTCACACGATCAAAATTTTGGGGCTTGGCAGCTGGCTTCCTCTCCTTCCAACAGCTTTCCCGGGAGGAGTTTTTTTGGGGAGGGGGGGATTGTGGGTCCAAACCAATGTATGCAGAGCGCGCTTCAGAAATTGTGGGTGCTCCCAAACACTGGAGATTTTTAAGAAGAGACTGGACAGTCACTTGTCTGAGGTGGTATAAGTTCTTCTGCTTGAGCAGGGGGCTGGACTAGAAGATCTCCAAGGTCCCTTCCAATTCTATTCTATTCTATTCTATTCTATTCTATTCTATTCTATTCTATTCTATTCTATTCTATTCTATTCTATTCTATTCTATTCTATTCTATTCTTCACGCAACCAACTCATTCCCCATATGGGCCACCAGGGGGCGCCGAGAGTTTCTCCCCGGCTTTGCAAGGATCCCGGTTGAGTTGCGCAAGATCCCTCAAGCCATCCCGGGGCTGCGCTTTCCACTCCCCGGGACAGGCAGACGTTCAACCGGTGCAGCTCCTTCCTTCTCTGCTTTTTCTCTGCTCCTTCTTCTGTTTCCCCCCCCCTCCGTCTACAGCTTCATCTCTCTGCTGAGCTGGGGGCTTTCTCCAAACGGCGCCCACCCCCGCCCCCCCCGCCGGCCTTCCATTCCTCCCCCGGAGCCTGCCTGTCGCCCGGCCGAGCCATTTCCGTGGGTTCCTGGCCAGCCTTAGGCGGCGACCCCCAAACCAGCCTTTTTGGGGGGGGGGCTCAACAGCGATTCGGCTATTAGGGGCGTCTGGAAGGGGGGGAGGTTCCTCATCGGATAGGGCTGAGTCCCCAAAAGGCTGGCTCTCCCGTTCCCCAGGAGTGAATAATTAGCACTCTCTAATTGGGGTGGGGTCGTCCGGATGGCAGAAACCGTGGGAACGGGGGCCCCCGCGAGCTGGGAGACGGGGGTCGCCCTGCACCGCCTCCGTCTTGGGGAATCCTGCTCGATCTTTTCAGGGATCCCTCGGGAGCGCCCAGACTCCCGCTTTGGGCGTGGGGAGGGTCTGCTCCGGCAGCCAAGCAGCCCACCCTGAAACCGCCCAGCCCTCGCGCCCCTCCAGACTTGGGGAAGACTGCCTTTCCAAGCCCCCCCCCTCCGTCGCGGCTCCTGTCCTGGCTTCTGGCTTGGGGGGAGGGGGCTTCTGGCGAAGAAGGCGACGAGACCCCCCCCGGCCCGGCTCTGCGTTGCGCAACGGCCCCCACGCGGGTCCCGGAGGGTCAGGAAGAGCCAGAGCCATAAAGAGCCGGCGGGGGGGGGAGGACACGCAGAAGCCCGCCTGCCCATTGGCTTCCCCCCCCCCAGGGTGGGGGCGGCCGGGCTCGCCCCAGTCCCCGCCCGTTGCTGCAGCCCAGCCCCGTCGCTTCTCCAGGCAGCGCCGGACGGCTCGGATGCTCGCGCGTCCCTCCGTCTGGCACAGCGACCTTCGCGGCAGCCCGGAAGAGCCGGAGGAAGAGGAGACGACCCCCCCCCACCCCTCAAGGAGTATCCCCACCCACCCACCTGGACCCCAACTGCCGTTGGAAAGCCCCAGAAACCCAACGAGATCCGACTTCTGCTTCCATGACTAAAAGGGGTGCAGGTATTCCGCCGGGCGCCATCCTTTTCCTTCCCAGTGGATGCTCTAAGCTGCTAGACCTCAGTGAGGCTCTCGCCCACTAGGATTCAGACAGGGTGCTCCTGGCAGGCAAGCAACCTACTGATTTCTTGGCCACTTTTCCAGTGCCTCTTTTTCTTTTTTTAATCGCCCAACGCTCTCTGAGTGTGCTGAGAAGGAAGCCAGCCCTCTCTCTCCTCCAAGTTCCTTGCGGGGGTCTCCCCAGTGCCAATGGGCCCGAATCGGACTCCCGGCTTCGCAGGCAGCCTGCCCCGCCAGTGCAGCAACCTCACCACCCTGCAGTCAGACAGCAACCCCACCCTCAGCTCCTTTATGTTTGCGGCGGGGGTGGTGGGCAACCTGGCAGCCTTGGCCATCCTTGGGGTCCACCGGAAAGACCAGCGGGCCAAGACCTCATCCTTCTGCATCCTGGTGACCGGCCTGGTGGTCACTGACCTGGCGGGCACCTGCGTGGTCTCTCCGGTGGTGTTCATAGCCTATTCCTGCAACTCCACGCTGGTGGGCATGATGGGGGGCCAGCACTGGCTGTGTGACTTCTTTGCCTTCTCCATGATGTTCTTCAGCCTGGCGGCCATGTTCCTTCTCTGCGCCATGGCCATGGAACGCTGCCTGGCCATCAGCTACCCTTACGTCTACTCACAGCACCACGTCCGGCGGTGGGTCAAACTCTGCCTGCCCCTCACTTACCTCTTCAGCGGTCTCTTCTGCGCCCTGCCCTTTCTGAAAGTGGGCAAGTTCAAGCAATACTGTCCGGGCACCTGGTGCTTCGTCCAGATGGACAAGGACATGGACCTGGGCTACAAGGACGTGGCTTTCTCCTTGTGCTACGCCACTGTCATGGCGCTCCTGATCACGGCCATCTTCTTCTGCAACTGGCTGGTCATCCTCAGCCTCTGCCAGATGTACCAGAAGCAGAGACACCGCCGTCGGGGGTCCCTCAGCACCAGCCAGCGCCGGAAGAAGAGCTGGTTCAGCCAAGGGGAGGAGGAGGTGGACTACCTGATCTTGCTCGCTCTCATGACTGTCATCTTTGTCATCTGCTCATTGCCACTCACGGTAGGTGCTGCCCCCCCCCCCCCCGGGCACAATTGGCGGTCCTGGGAAGGGGCCACGGAGAGGGTGGGCGGGGGCCTGCCTTGGAAGCGCTGGGAAATTCCTGGGAAAGAACCAGATTGGTGTCCTGGTGAATAGAAACCACCGGGAGACTGTGACTTCTAGTTCTGCTTGAGGTATGAAGCCAGCTGGGTGACTCTGAGCCAGTCACTTTCTCTCAGACCTAGGAAGGAGGCAAAGGTTTCCTGCCTGAGCAGGGGGTTGGACTAGATGACCTCCAAGGTCCCTCCCAACATTATTATTATTATTATTATTATGGATCATCGCACAGTCAGCCAGACGTTCAGACTGGATTTGGCATTTTGTCTACCTATCGAGTCCTTACCCAGGACCTGGGATAGTTGCTATTATTATTACTATTATTATTATTATTATTATTACTTATGATAAACCTTGCCGAGAAAACTGCAGGGACTTCTCCATGCTGGCTGGGGAATTCTGGGAGTTGAAGTCCACCCATCTTCCAGTGGCCAAGGTTGAGAAACACTGGTCTAGTCTAAGGAGGGGAAATAACCTCCTTCCTTCCAATTCTTCCATAACTTTTTCAGAAGCCCAACGCCCAGCTCTCCATCCAGACCCCTCACTGGGGCTCATCCTATCCTGCTGACAGAGCCCCAGAGCTGACACTGTGGAGGAGAGATTCCAGTAAATGGTTACCAGCAAGGAGCAGATCCATCTCCTTTGCAGGACATTATAATGTTTGAGTTTCTTTGTGATTTCCATCACAAGAGCCATTATCAGAAGAGTAAAAACATTTAAAGCTGCCCTTGCTCCTCTTCCCTCCCCACCCAGTTTTCCTTTGATGCTATCTCTCTCTCTCTCTCTCTCTCCTTTTTTGAAGTATATAATCCCCCAAGAATCAGGGTGGGGAGGGGAGAACAGGACCATCTGCATTCTTCCTTCTTCAACAGCTCAGGAGAGCAGTCTTTCTGGCGGAGAATTGTCCAATCTTTGCTCCTGGCGAATTAAAAACGGGGCTATTTTAATGCCAGCTTCTCAGTCTTTCCGGTCTTCTGTACAGATATACCTAAAGTGTCCCTATGAGTCTTTTCCTTCCTTCCTTCCTTCCTTCCTTCCTTCCTTCCTTCCTTCCTTCCTTCCTTCCTTCCTTCCTTCCTTCCTTTCCTCTTTCTTTCTTTCTTTCTTTCTTTCTCTCTCTCCCCTTCCTTCCTTCTTTCTCTCTCCCCTTCCTTCCTTCTTTCTCTCTCTCTCTCTCTTTCTTTCTTTCTCTCTCCTTTCTTTCTTTCTTTCTTTCTTTCTTCTTTCTTTCTCTCTCCTTCCTTCCTTCCTTCCTTCCTTCCTTCTCTCTCTCTCTCTCTCTCTCTCTCCCCCTCACACACACATTTTCAATTACACACTTGCCCATTTTCAGGTTTATAGCCTGAAGTTATTTATTCATTTAGAGCTGTGTTGCTGAACCTTGCCAACTTTAAGATGCTGTTGTCACTCGGAACAGTCACTAAGTGAACGGTTGTAAGTCCAGGCCTGCACCTTTTTGGTGGTGATGGACGTGGGGAACCGTCCTCGTTTGGCATTGCCTTGGTTAAAAAAATCTTTCCCCCAGTTTTGAGACAGAAAACCCCAGATGCTGCCTTATAAAATGGCAGTAATGTGGATGGCTTGTCCCTTCTTGTTAAAAGCCACTTTCCTGCCATTTGTTCCATTAAAATTAATGTCCAGGATGGCTTGCCTTCCCCTCAACAGGATAGAAAAACCAGAACAGAAAATACGTGTGAGAAAGCCGCAATTAAAGGGGGAAGTGCAAGGGACACAAATTGTTTCATCTCCTGTCAGTCAGGAAGCTCTACAAGCGGGAAGGCGAACGTCTTACCCAAAAACGGGCATCTTTGCGCAACGTGGCATGGTTGTCAAACGGAGACACAAGAGGAACATTACGTGCCAGGAATCCTAACCACGGTGCTTAACAGGGCTGTTTGCAGAAGGGATCAAAAAGTCAAGCTGGAGGACGATCGCTTGACACCCCCCCTCCTCTTTGTGGCAGCCCCTCAATTAGTGGAAGATGTCCTATTCAGATGCTTGAATCTGCCCCCTCGCCATTCAATGCCAGTCAGTTCCAACCTGCCACTCCTTAGGATCCGGTCCAACAGGATGGCTGAAGGCTGTGGTTACATTACTCGGGCAACAGAAAGCCGGCAGGTGCGATAACTCAGCACGAAAGGGTGTCTGAGTCAGGCTGTGTCAATAATTGCTGGGGCATCGAGAGGCCTAATAAGAACAACCAATAAGGGGGTGAGAGACCGACTTTCCAGGGGTCAAAGCTGCCCGATTTTGAGACTGGAACCCAGGGCTTCGTTTGCCGGGGTTCCTTGGGGAAACCCCCCGAAAAGTTTGTTCTAAGTTATGGGCTGGAAGTCCTGGCAATCCAGTTCCCCAGACCAGAATCTCTCCCAAACCAAATTGAATTTCCAGTTCTGTTCCACTCGGTAACTTGATGCCAGCCTACGAGGGACCAGCTGAGGTTCTGAGCGTGCCAAGCACCCAGCTTCTCTGCCCTCCTTCAATCACGACCAGCCTTATCACCTCATCTGGGAGTAGGAAGTGGTGGGGCTTCTGGGGCACAAGGCAAGCTCACCACCCCCTTCTTCCACTGGATGGCTTTTCGCCATGCAATCTGATTTTGGGGGGGGGGGGTTCTCACGGAGGGAAAGGGCAACAGACAGTCGCTGCACGAGTCAAAGGCTGCCTTGGGCGAGGTGAAGGTTTTCCAACAGCAAATGTCTACGGAGAGTCTCTATCATGCAGGTCCTGGTTGTCCCAAAGATGCTTTTTTTAATGAGGCAACTGGAGTTTTTGTTTTCCTTTGGAGAAGTTTCGCTTCTCATCCACGAAGCTTCTTCAACTCTGACTGGATGGTGGGGAACGGAAGGATTTCTACTCCTTGCAGACAGCTGGCCATTTGCCTTCTTTTAGGGAGTCGTTGAGGCCACTTGGAGGTTTTCCTGGGTCCTCAATGTCAGCTGAGTGGTGCAAATGGGTGTGGAGCCTTCCTGGGACTGCTGAGGACACCATCTGCCACCAGTCTACAACACAGCCCTTTCAGCAATCCCAAGAAAGCTCCACACCCATTTGCACCACTCAGGTGACCCTGAAGACACAGATAAACCTCCAAGTGGCCTCAACGACTCTCTAAAAGAGGGCAAAGGACCAGCTGTCTTCAAGGAATATAAATCCTTTCATTTCTCCACCCTCCAGTTAGAATTGATGAAGCTTCCTGGATGAGAAGTGAAACATCTTCAAGGAAAAACAAGAAAGTCCAGTTCCCTCGTGAAAAAGCAACTTTGGGTTTTCAGCTCAGAAAAGCAGGCCAGGCCTGTTTAGGATGCGGGGTAAAAAGTCTTAGGAAGAAATACAGATACAGTCCTCGACTTACAACCATTCATTTAAAGAGCGTTCAAAGTTACGACGCCACCGAAGAAAGAATTTGGGGGGGTGGGGGTCGGCCGTGCGCTTAAAAAGGGAGGGGGCTTCGCGATCCCTGGGAAAAAAGATACCCCGAATACTGCAGAGGGACGTTTGAAAAAGGAAGCCAGAAACGGGAAAGCAATTAAGGCAGTAATTATTGCTCTGCGCATCAGGAAAAAAAACCCAGACCTGTCTCTGGAGAGCATCGCCTTGTGGTTTCAGGGTAGGTGGGAAAATACTTCTTACTGCTGCCCGTCTCTTGCTCCCAGCTGTGGAATATGGGCCAGGGAATCTTACCAGCACCAGGGGAGGACAATTTTCCGATCCTCCCCTCGGAGCTCCCCTCCCTCTGGAAACTATGCCAGCCACTGCAGAGTGGCCGGCAAATTGTCCCTTTTATTGTAAAAGGGGAAGGTCATTAGACGGGGGGGGGGGGGGGGAGAAGGCAAAGTCTCATGTCTTGCTGAGTGCTGTTTTCTTTCCAAAGCAGGGGGGGTCGGATTTAATTGGGTCCCGCGCTGGCCACTGGCCAAGTTTGTCCTCCCAGACAAAATGCAGCCGTTGACTTAAAAGAAGCTTGGCCTGCCCAGCCCGGCTGGCCAGCGGCCAAAAGATTTTAGAGTGGCCCTCTTCAATCTGGTGCCTTCCAGGAGTGCTGGGACTCCAGCTCCCAAAATTCCCAGCCAGCATATCCCGGGGGCCACTTACTACTAGCATCCTTCTTCGTTTGCAGAAGAGTTTCTCAACTTAACAGGGGTGGACTTCAACTCCCAGAATTCCCTAGCCAGCAGACGATTGAACTCGAAGCTGTGTGGACCACAACTCGCAGAATTTCCCAGCCAGCATGCTTACCCAACCGGCTGGAGCTGAAGTCCACCCCGCTTCGGGTTTATTCGCAATCAGTCTGGGGAATTCTGGGAGTTGAAGTCCACCCGTCTTAAAAGTGGCCACGGTTGAGAGACACCATCCCACACTGAGAGCCTTATCAAAAAAGAGCCTTTTCTGAGAATTTCTGTAATGGGATTCCGCCCCTACTTCCAGCTTCTGATTCAGCTCATCCCCATCTTGTCAGCTCTCTCTTCCCAGAATATCCCTTTTTTATTCCTTTGGGGGGAAGCCTCGGGACATGGGGGAGAAGCGTTTTGCAAGCCAAGGGGCTGTCCTGATCCGATGCACTACAAGTTCCCATCCTATGTTGGCCAACCCAACTGTTGGCTGGAGGCCCTTCTGCAAATCTATCAGGGAGAGCAAAACTCAATCATTTTTTAACTGGCATCCCAGGAGATTTTCTCTCTGATAAGGCTCAGCTGCTTCTCAAAGAATAACAGAGCTGGAAGGGATCTTAGAGGTCTTCTAGTCCAACCCCCTGCTCAAGCAGGAAACCCTACATCATCCTGGTCAAATGGCTGTCCAATTTCATCTTGAAAATCTCCAGTGATGGAACACCCACAACTTCCACTGGTTAATTGTTCTCACTGTGAGGAAATTTCTCCTTAATTCCAGGTTGCTTCTCTCCTTGATTAGGTTCCATCCACTGCTTCTTGTCCTGCCTTCTGGAGCTTTGGAGAATAGTTTGACTCCCTCTTCTTTGGGGCAGCCCCTGAGATACTGGAACGCTGCTATCATGTCACCCCTTGTCCTTCTCTTCATTAGACTAGACATACCCAATTCCAGCAACTGTTCTTCATATGTTTTGGCCTCCAGTCCCCTGATCATCTTTGCTGCTTTTCTCTGCACTCTTTCTAGAGTCTCAACATCTTTTTTACATTGTGGTGACCAAAACTGGATGCCGTATTCCAAGTGTGGCCTTACCAAGGGGTTAACCCTTTACGTGATCTTGATTCTATCCCTCCGTTAATGCAGCCTTGGACCTTGTTGGCTTTTTTGGGGTTACTTGTGAAGAGAACTATTTTCAAATATGCAGTTCTGCTGACAAAGTGACAAACTGGCTCCACCTTCCATTTTGAAACACGGGAATCTTAACACCACTGACTAATAGAATCAGATTGATATTTAATGGAGGGGGGAATTTGGATGTTTTTTTTTTAAAAAAAGAAAACCACATTTTCAAAAAAAATAACAAAAAACAAGCACTTACAAAAAGTCACTTATGTAAACACAGCTGCAGCAATTTGCAAAACAATCAAGACTTTTTTTTGTTTCTTTCTGAGGCACTGCAAACGCTATTAAAAGTGCTTTATAAACTCGCATTCCTAAGGGATTGCGTTTAATCCAACAAAGATTTTAATCTGAAGTCAGATTTAATTTAATCTGGGCTCAGTTCAAAATCACCAGATTGCAGAATGATAGAGCGTATAGAGATAGTATATTGTATATAGAGAATATATAGTGTATCGTATATAAGAGAGGATGGGTTTTCCTTGACTTACAACAGCTCGTTTTGTGGCCGTTCAAAGTTACAACGGCACTGAAAAAAAGTGATTTAGGACCATTTTTCATACTTATGACTATTGCAGCATCTCCAGAGTCACGTGATCGTAAGTCAAGGAATATCTGTATATAGCTATAGAATCATATAGATATATGCAATTCCATATTATTATAAGCAAGCCTGAGACAGTCCTAATGAATTTAGCTCGGTTGGGAAGCAGTAAAACTATCGCAAAACTTTCTAACCTTGAGCCAGGAATTTGTGTAAATCCTTTAATTCTTTTCTTTGTTTGGTTAGTTCTGGGTTCCTTTTACCTGATCAAAGGTTCCTCAGCTGAGATGCTGAGTAACATTTGCAGAAGTTTCTTGTGTAGTTAAACATCTGCCAAAAATAAATATTCCTCGGTTTTTTTACGACAACAATTCGTCTTTTTTAAAAGGAAGGGTTTTTTTATTATTATTATTATTCTGACAGACACACACTAAAAATATAGGGTCAACATTTATAAATACAAGCCTGACGAGCTCTGTGTAAAAAGCCATCCTTCTTGTAAGTTTCCACCTCTGTTACAAAGCCTCGCTTACTTTTTTTTCACATCCTGTGTGTGGATCCAGTTTTTACTGTGCTTTGTGTTAAAGACGAGGTAGGTCAGGGTGGAGACAATAGCTTAACCGTCCGTTTGCAACGTCCTGTGCAGCCCTCAAATCATAACCGCACCAAAATTTCCATCGCTCAGCAAAGGAATGGTTAAGTAAGGTGCACCCAATTTTACAGCCTTTTCAGGTTGTTAAGCGAATCACTGCAGGCGTTAAGCGAAGCAAGCAATCGTTTAGCAAATCCAGCTTCTCCCCCTCCACCATTGACTTTGCTTGTCGGAGGCCTGCGGGGAAGGTGGCAAATGGGGTCATGTCACACACACACACACACACACACACACACACACCCCGGGATGCTGCAACCGTTGTAAATCCATGCTGGCTGCCAAGAGCCCAAATTTTGATCAGGTGAATAGAGGGATTCTGCAATGGTGAAAAGGGAAAGGAGCGGTTGTAAGTCACATTTTCCAGTGCTGTTGGAACTTCGAACTAGCACTGAGGTTGTTACCTAGTTTGGTCATGAAACGTCTGCAAGAAAACCACCAAGCTACCAAGTTACCTCACAGTCATTCTCCTCCTCCTCCTCCTCCTCCTCCTCCTCCTCCTCCTCCTCCTCCACTTTCTTTCCTCTAGTCCTAATTTGGCTCTTGAGAACAGAAGGGTCCTGCTTGCCTCAGTTCCCACCCTCTTTTCTTAGGAATTTTGCAATCAGCAGAGTTAAGAGGTCAAAATCGCTCTCCATTTTCTTAAAAATAATAATAATTCTGCTATTCATTTGGGAGAAGAACACAGCAGTTAGGACAAAAATAGGAACCAGGCTGGAAACCCATCACCAGACCAGGTCATGTACATTATAAATAACCTGGACTCCCATCATTAATCTCAGACCGAGGAGTCACTTCAGAAACCCTTCTTTGGCCACAAAGCTGAAATGGGGTGGCCTTGGGTCAGTCTGATCCAAGAGCAGGAAGGTTGTGAAGATGAAATGGAAAAAGGACAAGTGAAAAATCAGATAAAGAAGCTCCAAATTCCAGAGTTTTTGTTGCACAGAGGACAGAATTCACCCCACTTATCTTTCAAGACTAACAGCCGCGGAAGCGAGAAACCCTGACTTGTGAGGTTGTGGTCCTATGATTGAGTGGATCGCTTTTCGACCCTTAGCAAACAAGAAGGGGTCGTGGCAGTTTTAAGACTTGTGGGCTTCAATATTTGTAGCTCAGAATTGAAATGAGGGGGTGCTCTCTGACCTTGGTTTGCTTTCTTGCAGATGTTTCATGACCCAACTAAGGAACATCATCAGTGTTAGAAGGGAGGGGAATTTGCAGATAGGAGGGGGAGGCAGGGAGGGAGGAGGAGGATTGTGGGGTCCTTGGTGCTCCCTGACCTTGGTGGTTTTCTTGCAGACATTTCATGGCCCAACTAGGTAACATCATCAGTGTATGATATGCGTGGAGTTTGCAAAAAGGAAAAGGAGGAGGAGGATTGTGTTCTCTGAGTTTGGTGGTTTCCTTGCAGATGTTTCAATTAGGAAACATCATCAGTGCTAGAAGTGAGAGGGGGAGGAGGGGGGGGAGGGGGAGGAGGAGGAGGAGGAGGAGAAAGGGGGCTGTGGGCTCCTGGGTGCTCTCTGAGCTTGCTGGTTTCCTTGCAGACATTTCATGACCCAACTAGGAAACATCATCAGTGCTAGAAGGGAGAGGGGTTTGTGGCGAGGAGGAGGACAATGGCAACTGTGGGGTCCTTGGTGCCCTCTGAGCTTAGCTGCCAACGCTTTGTTTCCCATTGCCTTCTAGATCAGAGCCTACATCGGTGGCATCGATCCGGACCACAGCGAGGCAGCTGACATGGTTGCCTTCCGCCTGAGCGCCCTCAACCCCATCGTGGACCCCTGGCTCTTCATTGTCTTCCGCCATGCCGTCTTCCACAGCCTCCGCCGTTTCTTCTGCTACCAGCTCAGCTGGCCCTGCTGGTTTAGGCCACCCAAAGGGACGACCACGCTTGGGACTCAGGAGAGCCTGCCCTGCCAAGCCCAGTCGGTCTGCTGAGAAAGGCCCTGCTCAAACTTCGGAATTTGGGGCTCCCGGGCAGGGGGAAGGGGGCAAGTGGGGAGGGCCTGGGGAGCTGTGTGGGAAGGGCCCCCTCCGCCATCTCCCAGGGTCTGAGAATCAAACGGAAGAAGCATCATCTCCTTGGAATTGCTGACGAGGAAAAATAACAAGAGTTGGAAGGGATCGTGGAGGTCTTCTAGTCCAACCCAGGTTGAGAAACATTAAGGGTGTCTGATAAGGGCTTGGGGTGCAGGAGAAGGAAAGGTCCATTCTGCCCCCAAATGGGGGCTGAATTGGAGGGAGGGGCTGGAAGAAACACAAGGGAACAACCTGGGGGGGGGTTACTTTGTACCTCTTCATTTTCAACACCCTTCTCAGACTGTGTATAGTTACTGATGCTGGTCAAAGGCTGACTCACATTTGGGTACCACTTCATACAGGATGCTGCTGGTCACACTCAATCGCTCCGGAGAACCTGGACAGGTCTTGAATAAATAAAGGAAGCATTGAAAATAAACTCTCCATCTCTCCATCTAACTTTAACTTATTTCTTAGGTTTTATTTAAAAAAAAAAAAACCTGCGATCTTCGGACGCTCAGCAGCTCGTAATCCCCGAGAAACGCCGCCACACCACAACATAAACTCAACTAGGGAAACTGCAAAAAAGAAAGGATTAACTAGGCCGCAGTGCTTCTATTCTGGGTTCTAAAGGAGCAATACCTTCTCCCAAAGCAATTGGGCCAAATCTTTGTTGCTTCCATTTATTTTTTTATTTTAGTTTAGTTTTTGGCCCAACCTCTTTTTTTCCAATTCAAGCAGGATTGCGGTTTTTTAGGGAATGTGAAAACAAAAATGGCTGGCTTAAAAAAAAAGCTAATGTTTTTCGGGAAGATGGTTTGGTTTTAATTTTTTACAAGGGTTAGGGCAAACACGTGGAGTCTTAAGACATATCCTTTCACTAATGGTTCTTCCTAAACCTGTTTAAAATGATTTCCCATCACCAGGAAATCCAGAATGGAAGAAAAAAAGCAGATGAGTTCATTTTGCTTTACAACAAGCGTTCCATGGTCAGAAATCCGAAGTTGAGTAGCATTTTTTCCACCTAACAAAAACTTATTAAGCTTCTGCCTTTTAATAAACTTTGTTAGTTGGAAAAGTGCTCTTAGATTCCTGGACCAGAAGACCTCCTTTCTCACATTATGATTTTATGAAGCCTCTTGCTAACTCAACATTTCCTCTTCTCTTCAAACGAGGAGCCGAGTTGCAGCCCCAAAGGCAGGCTGGGAACTTCTTCCACAGAATGGGATGGCCTTCCTCTTAGCCCTGTTGTGTCAGTCAATGGCCCTGGAGGGAAAGGAAACGTGGGCCTTTTCACACAGATGGCGGTTGAGTCACGCCACTTTTCAGTCCCTTCTCTGAAGCCTCCTCCGTTCTCTGTGGGGGTTGAGCCTCCGAGCCCTCAACGGCATGACTCTCTCCAGCCCCGTGATGGAGGACTCCGTCAAAAGGATTTCCTCTTCTGGAAGCAAACACTAAACGTTTGAGCAACTCATCCACCGGCTTGCGACAGCTCTTGAACTCAAGTCAAGAAGGAAAGAAGTGGGTGGGGAACGGGAGCATTACCCAAAAGCATGGGCCAGGCAGCATGGAAGATGTCGCCCTCCGTTTGGCCCAGAAACACACAGATGGGCCGTTGGAAGGCCACCCACGCATGCCGTCCTTTCTTCCAGAAATCTTACAAAATCAACATCTGGGCTCTTGGAAGGAGCAACACGTAACTTCTGGATCAAGGAGAGGTTGAATGAGGTGGCCATTTCCTTTGCTTCGAGCCACGGATGAGGCTAAAACCTCCGCTGAGTTTGTTTAGATTTCGCTTGAATTCAAGTTATTCCCATTTTGGAGGGTGGTTTTTCTTTTTCTCTGGCTTTCTGCCTTACTTTAGAATTTGGGAATAAGCTGCACACCGGCTGGGTAGGAGGAAGAGATTGCCATGGTCTTTCAGATGTGGGTTAATGCTAGGTTAATAACCAAGCAGTAAACAATATCCCAATGAAGGATGGACCAACTCTGGGCAACAGTCAAAAAGCAAGCCACAGCCTAATCAAGGAAGAAAACCACTAGGAAGAAAAACACACTCCCCCCAATACTGGTAGGGCAAACCTCCCTCCCTCCTAGCGCTGATGATGTTACCTAGTTGTGTCATGAAACGTCTGCAAGGAAACCTCCAAGCTCTGGGAACACCAAGGACCCCACAGTCGTCCTCTTCCTCCCACCCATAAACCCACTCTCTTATAGCACTGATGATTCTACGGAGTTGGGTAGGGAAATGTCTGCAAGAAAACAACCCAATCAGAGAGCACCAAGGACCCCACAGTCGTCGTCCTCCTCCCTTCTCCTTCACAAACCCTACTCCCTTCTAGCACTGATGATGTTGCCTAGCAGGATCACGAAACGTCTGCAAGGAAACCACCCAGCTCAGAAAGTGCCTCACAGTCAACTTTCTCCTCCTCCTCCCCCTCCTCCTCCTCCTCCTCCTCCCTTCTCCTTCACAAACCCTACTCCCTTCTATCACTGATGATGTTGCTCAGCAGGGTCACAAAACGTCTGCAAGGACCCCCCCCCCACCAGCTCAGAGAGCACCCAGGACCCCAGAGTTCAACCTTGAGCTACAAAGATTCTCTTCTAGCAGTATTTTTATCTGACTGGGAGGACCCCCTTCATGCAAACTGTCTCTCTCAGGAGGACACGGAATGAGGAAACCGCTTAAGACCCGGCTTAGATCATTCTTCCTCTTTGCAAGACATCACCCGAGCTTAACCCCAGCCCTCCCGGAGAAGCAGGAAGCCTCAGCTGTTCAGGGTCACCCTGGTTGAGGTCCAGCAGATGTAAGGATGATGGAGTTCCCCGAAGACGCCTTCGTCTAAGTCAGGGGTTCTCAAACCTTGGCAACTTTAAGACTTGTGGACTTCAACCCCCAGAATTCCTCAGCCAGCTTTGCTGGCTGAGGAATTCTGGGAGTTGAAGTCCACAAGTCTTAAAGTTGCCAAGGTTGAGAACCCCTGGTCTAAGTCCTCAGGAGAAGGAGGGAAATATTTGGGCAGGATATACGGGGAGTATATCACAATGGAGCCCCACCTTTGTGTTGCTAAACAAGGCCGTTAAGTGAGGTTTGCCCCATTTTTACAACCTGTTTATCCCAGTTGTGAAGGGAACCGCCGCAGTTATTATGTCAGTCACAAGGTTAAGTAAATCTGTCTTCCCCATCAGACATTGCTCGCCAAAAGGTGGCAAAAGGGGATCAGGTGACCCCAGGACACTGCGACCGTCGTAAGTACGAGCCAGTTGCCAAGCGTCTGAATTTTGATCGCAGGACCGCGAGGATGCTGCAACGGTCGTGTGAAAAACTGGTCATACATTACTTTTTTCAGCGCCATTGTAACTTCAAACGGCCACTATAATAATAATAAATAATAATAATAAATAAATAATAACAACAACAATAAAGTTGGAAGGGACCTTAGAGGTCATCTAGTCCAACCCTCTGCTCAGGCAGGAAACCCTATCCCATTTCAGACAAATGGCTGTCCAGTCTCTTCTTCAAAACTTCCAGTGTTGGAGCATTCACCGCTTCAGGAGGCAGGTTGTTCCCCTGGTTAGTTGTTCTGTCACTAAACAAGCTGTTTTAAGTTGACAACAACTTGTATACGCAAACGAAGTGGGTCTTTCAAGATTTGGCTCAACGGGTGTAGAGAGGTTTTAAGGGGACCCTCCTGCTCCCTCTGCTGCCCCCCACCCCCCTTTGCTCTTTCATGTGAGGGGGGGGCGCATGAGCGCATGCTTTCCCACACCCTACCAGAATCCGACAGACTTTTTCAGGCATTAAATAGGTTATCGCTTTGTTGTTTTTTTAAAAGGGGAACCCCGCCACCCACAAGGCTGGCTATTAATGGAAGGGGGAAATGATGGTGCTGTTTTTTGAAATTCTGCTTTTTCGTGGAGAGGGATGTGCCAGCTCCTTCTCTCCTGCGATTTAATTCGGAGGAAAAAGCATCCCAGTAGAGAACGGCAGGTGAGCCCCAACAGGGGCGGCTGAGAAAAGTATGAAATAGGAATAAAATACATCAAAATGATCAGCCTCTAAACCAGGGGTCTTCCAACATGGCCACTTGAAGACTTGTGGACTTCAACTCCCAGAATTCCTCAGCCAGCCCTGAGGGCTGGCTGAGGAATTCTGGGAGTTGAAGTCCACAAGTCTTCAAGTGGCCACGTTGGAAGACCCCTGCTCTAAATACAGGCAGCCCTTGACTTACAATAGTTTATTTAGTGACTGTTTGAAGTTACAACGGCCTTGAGGAAAAGTGACTTAGGATTGTTTTTCATACTTACGACCGTTGCAGCATTCTCCCTGCGGTCATGAGGACAAAATTCAGACGCTGGGCAGACGGACTTGCATTTATGAGTCACCCTCAACCTGGAGCATTGACCAGTGGTGCAGCTTGCCTCCCAGGGTTGTGAGTGCTGCTCCATGCTGGCTCGGGAATTCTGGGAGTTGAAGTTCACCGGTGGTAAAGTCGCCCTCCTTAAAGAGGGGGAGAGCTGCCCCCTTGAGTCGAGGCCCCTTTTGGTTGACTCCCCCTCCAACTAACTTTTGGTTGACCTCTAAACTCTTTCAAACATCTGATTATGGGTCCTTCCCATCAGTGGTTGCTCCTCATGGTCCAGACACTTCCCGTGTCACGAAGCCTGACTATCTGCTTGAACCCCGATACCCCCAAAAGAGAACCAGAGTTCAAAACTCAGGATCCCCAAGAATGCAAGAGACTTCTGGAGCACCTTCAGAACTTCTCCAGATGAGCATCGTTCCTGGACATGCGCGTTGCTTGGTGACAACCCCCAAGCGGTTGGCCTGTCTTTCCTCAGCCCACCAAGGAACTACTATAGTAGCTTCATCTAGGCCAGGGGTTCTCAACCTTGGCAACTTTTAAGACTTGTGGACTTCAACTCCCAGCAAAGCTGGCTGAGGAATTCTGGGAGTTGAAGTCCACAAGTCTTAAAAGTTGCCAAGGTTGAGAACCCGATCTAGGCGACAAGGTTTTTTTCCTATGGAGGGAGGCGCCCCCTGCTGTCTTGATCAGGCACTGCAAGGCCAACAAAACTTTTGCCCACCCCCTTTCAAACATCACAGACACCCCCCCCCCCGACCCCAAACTGCAACCTCTTTCAAGGGACTCAGAAACGTGCAAGAAAAACATACCCAAAAGGACAAAGACTGCCACATCAGTGTCATCCGAGACAGGGTGTGTCCCCTACTGTTGCCGCTGGAAGATGGGTGGACTTCAACTCCCAGAATTCCCTAGCCAGCAACATGGCAGGCAGACCAAATGTGAAATTAAATAAATAGCCCCACAAGTGCTTAATAGAGTCCTTGACTTGCCACCTTTTGCTTAGTGACAATTCAAAGTTACAAAGGCACTGTACCAGTGACTTACGACCGGTTTTTGCACTTACAACCATTGCAGCATCTTCATGGTGATCAAATTTCAGACGCTTGGCAACTGACCTGTATTTATGACGGTTGTGTGTGTGTGTGATCCCAGAATCCAGTAATCAGGATCTCCGAAGCCAAGGATTCTGGAGACTGATAAAACAGGCCTGTGAAAAACCAAACTTGGTCCAGGGCAGCAAGAGTTCCGTTCGTTGTGTTCTCCCCCACCGATTCTCCATCCAAATGAGAGTTGCCTTCTCCGTTAATTCCAGATAATTTACCCAAAATGCTGCCAAGCAACAGGACGGTGAGATGATCTCTCACCGAGGATGGAAACTGGAAATCCTTAGGATTCTTCCAGGGAGCGCCATGCTCGGTGTAGGCTCACCTTCTGGTGGAGTTGGGCTCTAACGCCCATCATCCCCTGCCCAAACAGAGACCATCAACCTGCAGTTCCAGAGGTGACCAGATTCCGCTGCCGATTTCCAAAGCTTGGTGGCCAAATTGCTTTGAACCAGGCAGCAGGAGAGCAGCCCCCCCCATCAATGAGGCAGCCCACTAAGCCTCCAAGTTCCTACCCTTAAATTTCCCCCCTTGGGCCAGTTGCCTGTCCCCACACAAGCCCCAAACCCAGGCCTGGAGACAGAGACCCCTTCTGCAACCCCCTCCCCACCTTTAGGGGGATCCCTCCCTCTTAACATGGGGTCTTTCAGGAGCTGAGGGGCCAGAGCAAATTCTGCAACCGGGGAGACCCCTCTCGCTCCCCAATATGCTGCTCAGCTTCAGGGGTTGCCAGGAGCACCAGCCCAACTCAAGGGGCACACCTGGGTGGGGAGAGGGTGGAAGGGGGATGGCAGTTGTTGAGTCTGTGGGGTCCTTGGTGCTGCCGGTTTCTTGCAGACGTTTCGTGACCTAACTAAGTTACATCATCGGGGCTAAGAGTGGGGTTCGCTGTCCAAGCTTGTCGTCTTTTTAAGACCCGTGGATTTCAACTCCCAGAATTCCCCAGCCCTGTCTGCAGGCCTTGAAGTCTCAAAAGTCGCCAAGGTGGGCACCCCTGCTGCAGAGCAAACCCCACAGACAGCCCCAAAACCCTCCTAACCCCGATGGTGTTACCTAGTTGGGCCATGAGACGTCTGCCAGAAAATAACCAAGATAACACCGAGGACCCCCCAATTCAACCCCCAGCTACAAATATTCTACCCACTGTTAGTCTACGCTGCCAAACCACCCAACCGCAGGAGCTTGGTAGCACCTTCTCCGTAACTCTGGTCAATTGGAAACGGCGCTACCGGATTTCCTCTGGGTTCGAGGTTGAGGGGGCTCCCCCAGGAGATGGGCCCCGGTCTGCCATTTCAAAGCAACACCAGCCACGTCAGGTAGTCACTGCATTTTATTGGAAAACATTGATATAATTTTTATTTTCACAGCTTGAACTGAACAAACGCCACCTGCTTTCAAAGACATTCTTGCTCAACCTTCCCCACTCTCTCTGCAGACCCGTCGGTGGAGCGCCGGAGGCAAGCAACCCGAGGGAGCCAGGCTCAGGCCTGCCGTGCGCACGGCACCAAAAAACGCGCTCCCCGTCCAGATTCGGGAGAAGTCTGCTTCTCGTTTCAATGGCCTCGCCCCCACCCCCCAAAAAGAGAAAAACACCCCAAACATTTTTCCCCCTCCAAATTTGATTTAAAAAAAAAAAAACCAAAACGAAATGAAAGAGAGAAAAGCAAAACTTGCAGCTCATGCCGTTTGCCGCAAGGAGAGGAAAGGGGGGGGGGGAAACAGGAAGAGCTGGGTGGGGAGGGGGGCCCAAAAGGGGAAAAGGCGAAGGAAGAAAGCCACAGCTACGAGCACAGACACCGAAGCCCAGGTGCGTCAAGAGGCGGTAAGTCGCGAGCCACTACGGAAGAAGAAATTAAAAAAGCACTGCAGAGGAGGGAAGAGGGAAAAAGGGCACCCGGGCGCAGTTGGCATTCACTCAAGTGGAGGCCTCCCTCTTTTATTGCGGTGTCGCCCCCAGCGCGTCCCCCCCCTCCCCAGCTGCCAATCGCTGTCGCTACCCGTGGGGCGCAACCCATTCTGGGGGGGGGCATTGCCTCAGATATATATATATATATATATACATAGCAGCTCTGATGTCGGACACCACGCGAAGGAAATGGTTAAGGACATTTACAATTTTTACAGGGTTGAGAACAAGAGACGGGAGATGGACGTGTCGGGCGGGTGGGTGTTTGGGAAAGCGTCAATTTGGAAAGTGCCGGGACCCTCGTCGCCCCCCCTTCTTGCTTCGACCCACCTCTCCTCCAGGCCATGCCGATGGGATCTTTCAACCATGGACATCCAGGCGGTGGGATCTGCCCCTGCCACCCAAACAAAATGAAGGAGGAACACAAAAATAAACCCCTCCCCATTTCTTGCTTGTACCCCCCTCCCAGTGTTCCTTGGGGCAAGACCCTCGGTGGTGACTGCCATGTCAACGCGCACAACTGCAGCGCCCGGACACGTGGAACAGGACTGAAAAAGACTGTTGCACTCTCTCTACCCCTTCGTGGTGGTGGTAGTGGTGATGGTGATGGGGGGGGGGATGTTCTCAAAAAAAGAGAGAAAGAATCTGCACCCTGAGATATAGGGCCAGCTCTGACTACAGAACAGAATACCCGATGGAAACAAAGACATCCACAAAGGGAAGGAAGGAAGGAAGGAAGGAAGGAAGGAAGGAAGGAAGGAAGGAAGGAAGGAAGGAAGGAAGGAAGGAAGGAAGGAAGGAAGGGAGAAAAAGAGGAAGGAGAGATGAGTGCAATCATGCAGGTTGGGAAGGTTTTTCTTTTTTTTCCTTTTTTCACTTTTTAATTGCTTGGTCAGATTTATTCCACAGCCGATTTGTTTGCGTAGAGAACCAGGTTACTTAAGTAGAGAGAGTGTGTGGGAGAAAAGTTATCAAGGGAGAAACGGGCCTTGCCAGCCACTCGGTCTGCGGGCTTCATTTTGCCGTCATCATCTGCACGAACTCTGCAAGAGACACGGCAGAAGGCAACTTGGTGAGCGCGTCCCCGTTTTAAGTCCAAATCGACGTCCTGGCTGTGGGCCTCGGTCTCCCTTCAGTTCATTCACTTAATGCCCAGGGCAGATAATAGACCACCTTTTAACTTGGTTTAAAAATGTGGCCCAAAAACAAGGAAACGGTATCCCCTACAGCAGTGGTCTCCAACTGGGCTGTAGCATGAAAGCAGGGCTGGGCTAGCAAGTGTCACCTGGGTGCTAGCACTTCCCTGTTTGCGTCGTGTGGGCACCAGCACCGCCCAGTTTGTGTATGTGTTGTCTTCTAGCAGAAGGCTATCCAATCTTGGCCGCTTTAAGATTTATGGACCAACTCCCAGCAAAGCTGGCTGGGGGATTCTGGGAGTCGAAGTCCACAAGTCTTAAAGTGGCCAAGATTGGACACCTTTGTTGTAGCCTCAAAAATGGTGTGTGGTTCTCCAACCCATTCAGAGGCCGTACCAACCTGTGGAGACTCCCCGTGGGGCTCAAGAAGCTGCTCCCCCAACCTCTATCAACGGCACCTTCCGGGCTCCCCTCTCACCCACCTTCGTAGTTGACCTGCCCGTCTCCGTCAATGTCGGCTTCCCGTATCATTTCGTCCACTTCTTCGTCCGTCAGCTTCTCGCCGAGGTTCGTCATCACGTGGCGCAACTCGGCGGCGCTGATGTAGCCGTTCCCATCCTGGCAGGAGAGAAGCTTTCCGGTCAGGTTGAGGGTGGGCAGGCAGGCCTTCCCCCCCCCCAGCTTTCCTTCCGTGGCTGGGGAAAGGCCCCCCTTCCCCACTCCCCAGCCTCCGGTCCCCGGCTTCACCTTGTCAAACACTCTGAAGGCCTCTCGGATCTCCTCCTCGCTGTCGGTGTCCTTCATCTTCCTCGCCATCATGGTGAGGAACTCGGGAAAGTCGATGGTGCCGTTCCCTGAAAGGCAGCCACGGGCACGGTGAGACCGACCGAGCGGGCGGCTTTGGACAGCCCCACCCAGGGAGAAGGGTCCCTTCTCGAGAGGCTTGGCAAACTCCCACCCTAACCAGTGGGCTCCTCCCCAACTGACGAGACTGCTTTTGGCGGGGGCACCACAGAGCCCCATTCAGGTGCCACCTGAATTCTTCTACGGGTAGTCCTCGATTTACAACAGTTCATTTAGTGACCGTTCAAAGTTACGACAGCACAGAAGAAAGAGACTTAGGACCGTTTTTCACACCACCTTTGCAGCATCCCCATAATCATGGGAGCAAAACTCAGTGTCCTGGGGTCGCGTGACTCTCTTTTGTGACGTGGCAAGGAAGGTCGTAAAATGGGGCAAAACCCACTCAACCAATGTCTCAATTTACAACAGACATTTTGGGCTCCACTGTGGCTATAAGTCCGCCTGCAGTGAGCGCGCAGGGAACTAATTCGGCTGTTCTTACTGCGGGAGTTTTGGGTTCACTCACCGTCCGCATCCACCTCGTTAATCATGTCTTGCAGCTCGGCCTCGGTGGGGTTCTGCCCCAGGGACCTCATCACGGTGCCAAGCTCCTTGGTGGTGATGGTCCCATCGCCGTCCTTGTCGAAGAGGGAGAAGGCCTCCTTGAACTCTGCAGAGGGCCAGAAAAGCAAGGCACTCGAACCCAGTGCTGCAGCACGCCCGGCAGCTGGACCCCAAAAGGCTCAGGAAGGGGGAAAGAGGGAGCGACGAGCGCAATCTTGAGGCCCATGCCTGGCACCCGCTTCCCGCAGCCCCAGCCCAAACCACCTGTGGCTGGAGAAATCACAGCCTAACAAAGCCAGATGGAGTGTGTTAAAAAGAAGCTGTCTAAAAGAAAGAAGAAAAAAAATCCTTCTTCTGTGCCACCAATTTAAGGCCTGCCTCTCCGTGTGTGTTATTGAGCAAGTCTGTCTGTTGCTCTTCAACAATCAGGGGTTGTGAATCCCATGTGCGCTCCTGCGCGGAAACTCACCTGCAATCTGCTCTTCAGTCAGCTGGTCAGCCTGCAAGCAGAAAAGAGAGGTTAACCACTAGGCCTCCTCTGCTGCCTCTTCAGAGGGGTGGAAAATTTGAGATTTTGGGATTTTTACTGCATAGCACTGAGGAGGTGGATTCAAAGCCGCCGCCCCCCAAATTTGGAGGGACCTCAGTTGCCTTTTCTAGGCCTCAAGTGAGAGCAAGGAAAATATCCCTTGCAACTGATTCCTCCCCACCCAGTTATTATTTTTTGGCGAAAGGTACCTTGGCTCTACTCTGCACAAGGGACCCCTCCCATCCCAGTCCCTCCTGTCTCTTTCCTGCTCTTACGGATTCCACCTGGGACTCCTACAGATTCAATCTGGTCAAGCCAAGAGTCAGGAACACACCACAAAAGCCCCAACAAAGACCCACAACGGCGGCCCATTCATGCAGGAGAGCACCACAAACCCCAGCCTGACAACTTGATTTCTGGAATCCATTCTGACAAAGAGGCAGGGAGGATCGTCAAAAGCCGGCCGGTTCTTAGGGCTGATGGCAGAGAGAGATAAGCAGGCTCTTTTTAAGGCCTGGTGGGTGGGTGGCTTGTCTGAAGCAATCCTGGCTACCATGAGAAACAGGATGCTGGACCTTGCACTGAGTCAGCAGTTCCCTCCTGTCTGCCCCCACCCTGGGGGGGGGGAATGCTTTGCAAATCCCAAGTGCGGCCGATCACAAGATCACAAGCAACTTGCCGGTGGGTTTCTTGGCTTAAAATTACAAATATCCTCAGCTTCCATCCCATCTCACAGCTCCTGATTCCTCATGGCCTGCGAAAGGCGAGCGCAGGTGTTCTGCACCATTGACAAGCCAGGCTTCCCAAGTTTGCTCAATGTCTTTTTTGGGGGGAGGGAGGAGGAAGGGGGAGAGACAGGACCCCCAGGGCCGGACTTCACAAAGATACAGTCTCTATCTTCTGCTTCTCAAAATGCTGGATGCAAAAGGCCTCTTTTGTCCAGGACAGCCACTGGACCATTCCTTTCTTTCTTTCTTTTGAAAGGAAAGTTTGGAAAAGGCAAGTTCTCCAGAGATAAGAATAGTTGACCAAGGGAGGCTTCTGGAGTGGACTTGGGGCAGCTGCTACCTAGGGGTGGGCAACTCGGGCAACCTGATGACCTGTGGAGTTCTGGGAGTTGAAGTCCACAGGTCATCCAATTGTCAGCGTTGCCCATCCCTGTTGCAGACCAGCCCACCTCCAAGAACTACAGTGTGACCAGACCAGAGCTTGGGCTCCTGTGGTGAAATGGTACAGGATCCCCTACTTGAGCAGGGGGTTGGACTAGAAGATCTCCAAGGTCCCTTCCCACTCTGTTAATCTGTTCTATTTACTTCCAAAGAAATACTTCCGCAATACTAGTGCAATTAAAATTTAAGAGAATGGATGTGACGTGGATTTCAAAGAAATAGTTCGTTGATCAATAGTTCGTTGATCAGAGGCATTGACCAACAGCAGCCAAGCATAGCCTCACCCTGTCATAAAACTTCTGCCCATCCCATCTGGGAGTGTCTCCCATTTCAGGTAGCCCTTGACTTATGCCAATTGAGTCCAAAGTTCTTGTTACCGAGACGTTTGTTGAGTTTTGCCCCATCTTTACCACCTTTCTCGCCACAGTGGTTAAATGAATCACTGCAGTTGTGAAGTGAATCTGGCTTCCTCGCCGACTTTACTTGTCAAAAAGTCACAAAAGGGGATCATGTGATGACGGGACGTGGCAACTGTCAAGCTATGATCCTTTGCCAAGGGTCTGAATTTTAATCACGTGTCCATGGGGACGCCGCAAGGGTTTTAAGTGTGAAAAATGGTCATGCCTCACTTTTTTCAGCAGTGCCGTCGTAGTTTCGAAGGGACACTAAATGAACCGTCGTAAGTTGAGGACTACATGTACACGACTTGAGATGAAACGAGTTGTGTCAGCCTCTCTTATTTAGGCAAACTGCAATTCTGGAGCAGTTTGAGAGTCGCAAAACTTTTAGGGCGAGTGCCTGAGAGAGGGCGAGCAGCACCAAATCCCATCGTCCTCTTAGAAACCCGGAGGGATTTGGACTCCAGCCCCAACTGCAGTCCTGGCTGGTCCAAGACTGCAGCAACCCAGCCAGACAGCCGCTTCTCACCAGGGGCCAGACAGCGTCAAGGATGCAACAGACACAGCGATGCACAGCGAGGGAGGGAGGGAGGAAAAGCCCCCCAGGGGAAAAATAAAACCCCCAGCCATCTGGTCTTCAGGCTCCAGGCAAAAGGAATTTCCACAGATCAGCTGTTAAAGTTATATAAGGAGCCCTGCGCTTACGATAATTGGGCCCCCAATTTCTGTTGCTAAACGAAACATTTGTCCAGTGAGTTTTGCCCCATTTGACCAGCTTTCTTTGCCACGGTGGTTAAATGAATCACTGCAGTTAAGTTAGCTTCCCCCACTGACTTTCCTTATCGGAAGGTCGCAAAAGGGGATCACTGCAACCGTCATAAATACGAGTCAATTGCCCAGAGTCTGAATTTCGGTCACATGACCGTGGGGATGCTGCAGTGGCCGGACCTGTGTGAAAAATGGTCTTAAGTCACTTGTTTCAGTAATGTTGTAACTTTGGTCACTAAATGAAGTTGTTAAGTCGAGGACCACCTGTTAATGGGGGCGGGGAGAGAGAGGGGCTCATCCTCAGAGACTGGAAGGGACACAGAGGGAGGAAGCGAGGATGATGAAGCACTTTTGATGGAGCAAAAGAGGGGAAGGCTGAGGAGAAGGGTTCCCCCCCCCAAGCGTGCCAGAAAAGATCAAACTTCTGCTGAAGGGAGGGAATAAGCTTCAGTTGCTGCACCGATTCTCTCCTTCAGCTGAAGCACAGATGGTGTGTGTGTGGGAGGGGGGTGTCCAAGAAAAAAACAGCCCACCCTTAATTCTGAACCAACCGGGCATCCCAGCTACGTTTATCCCACTGCCCGTCACCTTAAACATGGCAGTGTCCCCAAAGGCCCCCACGAAGATGATTTGTGGCATGGATTCATTTTGCAGAAACTGCCAGAGTGACAGAGCAGCGACAACTCAAGGAAGCTTTTTGTGAGAAAAGAGGAGCTGGTGGCTGGACTGATGTGACAACAGCTCCAGCCAGCAACCTTCGGTTTTGTGAAGAAGGGACGAGGGAGACTTCGGCAGAGGATCTGAAGAGGCCAGTGCGTCACCCACGTGCAGGAAACTGCAGTGGGTAGCAAAAAAAAGCCAGCAGGACATGGCATTCTTGTCTCCCAACACAGGGTCCCCAATTTTTCCGTGGACTGGAAGGGGCCTGATTTCGTGTGCTGCCTGCATCCCATGGAGGGAGTTTTGCTTGTTTGCGCAAACCAGTTTCTAACATCTGCGCACTGGTGCCGGTCCACAGACCGGGGCTTGGGGCTTAGGGACCCCTGTCCTAACAGGCCAGCCCCTTGCAAAGCCGCAGCTCCAAATCAAATCCACCCTGTATATATATCCTCCACACAGGCGAATAAGTGCCAATGAAAGTGTCCAAGTCCAAGTCTCTCCACCTCGCCCTAACAAATGCTTCTCAAGCGCAACCCACCCACTCTGCACATGCTTCTTTCCCTCCAGAGCTTCAGCTTCTGAGCCAAAGCCCCAAGCGAGCCTTCACAGTCGCCCTCTGCAGAGCTGCTGCCCAAGACCAACAGGCCACGGCTCCTTTGCCATCCGAAGCAGACGCGCCAATCCAGGGCTTCAAGATAGAGGAGCGTTGTGTGAGCTGCCTGAGGACCAGGCCCATCCTGCCGCTTTTTCTTTCCACTGAGGTCAGAGGCGGCCCCAGCTGCATTTCCTTCTTTAGGCAAAGCAAGGGGCCTCCCAAGGCTGGGGGAATGAAACATCTGGAAAGCTCGTCAGATGTGCCTGCCGCTGCAGAGGACCAGCCCTCTGCCAGAGTAGCCAGGGCAGAGACCTCGGGTACGTTCCCGTTACCCTGCATCTTCTTCCCGTTACTCTGCATCTTCTTCCTGTTACTCTGCATCTTCTTCCCGTTACCCTGCATCTTCTTCCCATTACTCTGCATCTTCTTCCAGACAGGACACCCAGCTCTGCTCCCACCCCTCCAAATCGTAGCCATGAATGGGTCCCAGCAAGCAGGGGCATCCCCCTTCTGCCACACAAACACACACACACCCTGGCAAGAAGAGATGATTGCAACCCACAGCCTGACTCTTTTATCAGTATCTTTCAGGATGCCGTGAGCGCAATCCTGAAGTGTTTCCCCCTCCAAAGAAAATACACCGCCCCATCTTCTCCAATGCTTGCTGTTCGTCTCCCCAGACGTCTGGAGCCATCTCCCCCTCCCCCCATGCTGGTCCTCCTCCTAGATCAGCCCCTCCCTTGCCCAAAAAAAGCAGGCCTGAAGACCCCCCCCCCTTTGCCCTGCTCCAAGCATCCCAGCCAGGCCTGGTCTGAAAGGGGGGCTCACATGCAACCCCTCCCCAACTCGCCTGCCTGCCCCCCCTTCTCCTTTGCCACTCAACCACCCAGCCCCCCCAATAGCCCTCTCCTCATCATTGCCTTCCCTACAGCCAACCCACTCGGGGGTCCCGCATCCCTCCCTGCTCCCCCTTTGCACGCCCCCCCCCATTCAGGTGGCGTCGCCCCCAGGCCCCTCCCGCCTCCCCTCGCCCCTCCCATCAGCCCCCCCGCTACACTCCTCCTAGGCAAGCCCCCCCTCCCGCCTACCGCAACGGGGTACGACGCCCCCCTCCTCCGCGAGACGGGCGCTGGTCCCCCCCCGACAGCCCCCTCCCCCCATCCGGGCCCCTGCTCCCCCTCCCCTGCCCATTAAAGGGCCTGATCCGACCCTGCAACAAGGGGGGGGATCGTTCCCTTCGCCCCGCTGCCCCCCACGGAAGCGTCTCCCCTCCTTCTGCAACTCCCCCTCCCGCAAAACAGTCAGGCAGCCCCTGAAATCCTCCCTCAGCCTTCTCGCCCACCCGGGGGGGGTGGGAGTGGGATCCTAAGGCGCATCCGCCGCCAGCCGGGAAGCATGGGCGTTGTAGTCCGCCCTCGGGAAGGCGACGGAGGCGAAAGCCGGCGCCACGCTCGCCCCTCACCATTGTCCGGTCCGGGTCGGCCAGGCGGCAGCGGCGGAGGCGTCCGGAGGCTTCGAGGGCAGCAACGGCGTCGCGAGGGAGACAGAGCCGCACCAGCCGGGACGCACCGAGGGCCTCTTCACGGAGCCTCCAAGCGCGCGCCGGATCCCTCCGCCAACGGCCGCCTCCGGCCTCGCCCCGCCACGGCCTCCTCTGCCGACGCCCCGCCCCTTCGGCGCCCGCCGAGCCCAATCCGCTCTCGCCCCTGGAGGCGGCCCCGCCCACTTCCTCCTGAGGGCGGGGAGAGGGCCGAGGGGACTACTTTTCCTCCCCTCGCTCGCTCCTCGCGCTTCTTTCCCGGTCCCGCCCCTCCCCTGCAGCCGCCTGTCGGCGGAAGGACACGGCATGGCGAGCTCGCCCTTGTTTCGCGCGCTCCCATTGGCTGCGGGAGGAGGCGCAGGATGAGACTCCCGCGGCCATTGGTCGCCTCTCACCTGCAATGCGTCAAAATTGGAACGAGCCACGTGGAGGAGGAAAAAAGGGGGACGGAGGGAAGGAACCAAATGGAAGGGTGTGGGTGGAGGAAGAGGAGGAGGAGAGGCCGGGAAGCCGCGTTTTGCGGCGTGGTGGTTTTCAGAAAAGAAGAAAAAGATCTCCGTGTTTTTAAAACGATATGGGCCTCCCCCTCCCGGTCACGAATATATCGCTCCAAAAATAGGGGCATGGTGCCACTGGCCACCAGGCAGGATAGCCCCGCCTCTTTCCAAAAGCCGACATTACGCTCAAGATGGGCCACGCCCTCCTTTGGCCACGCCCAGTCACTGCAAGTCACGCCTTCGATCGCTCTGGTTTTCTCTACTTTGCAGGCGCTACCCAAAAAAAAACCGTCCTGCAAGGAGGGCTGGAAACTCTACCTGTTGGATTGCCACCTGCTAAGTCCTTGGGAACATTGGCTGGACCTTGAACTCTTGATTCATCCAAATATCAATTCCCAGCCCCTCCAATCTAAACATACTGGAACAGCAGTCCAGTGGCCATGCTGGCTAAGGATGATGGGGCTTGGAGTCCAGTCCTGCTGGACTGTATCTCTGGGCAAGCTGGGCTGGGATGATGGGCGGGATGGTTCTATGGTCCTTCTTGGAGACGCGAAGAGATTGCACCGGTCTGAGCTGGAGAAGCAGGCGGGCTCCCTCCCATCCAGGTGCAAATGCTGGCTGACATGGTATTAATCCTGACCCTGTTAGGAAGGGCCAGAGAGGTCACATGGCATATGGGCAGTCCTCAATTTAAGACCACAAATGATCCCAGAATCTTCAGTCGTTGAGCTAAACAATCATTAAGTGGGCTGTCATGCGATTGCTCGGCTCAACGACAGCAATTTCGGCTCTCCCCATTGCAGTCATTAAGCAATAACCTATAGGTATAGGTCAGGGGTAGGCAACCTTGGCTCTTTTATGACTCGTGGACTTCAACTCCCAGAATTCCTGAGCCAGCCATGCTGAGGGGAAAAGGAAAGGTTTCCAAGCTGAGCCATGCTGGCTGAAGAATTCTGGGAGTTGAAGTCTGCAAGTCATGAAGGGGCCAAAGTTGCCTACCCCTGGTATAGATTCTCCTGCTCAAGCAAGGGGCTGGACTAGAAGACCTCCAAGGTCTCTTCCAGCTCTATTCTATGGTAACCTGGGGGGATGTCCTGAGAAGCCCAGCACAGGTGACAGGGACCGCTGGTGCATGGAAACCCACCACAGGCCAAGAGTCCTGGGCATTCAACCAGCCCTACCACACCTGGGACGTTAAGAAGCATGGACTTCAACTCCCAGGATCCCCCAGCCAGCAATTCTGGGAGTCAAAGGCAACACACCTTAACAGTTGCCCAGGTTGTCAAACGCAGCTTTAACTACCCGCTCTCAGCTTGGTGCTCCAGGCTCAAAAGATGACAACTGACCTGGGAAAAGTGACTTACAACAATCATCAACCCCCCCCCCCCAAGCCTTTCTTCTTCCATATCCACCTAGTGATCACAGGACGAGGGAGGTGACTGGCTGGCAGCTTACCTGCCTGTACAGGTTGCAAGCTGTTCAGCCGCCCCTGCCCCAAACTTCTTGCCCGAGTTCTTACAAGCTCTGAGCCTTGGGCAAGGAGAGGCAGGCTGCAGCCTGTCTTCTCCCACTCCATCCTGGTCAGCTGGCACCAGCTGCGTTGGCCAAGGAAGTGGGCGAGAGGGAGCAGAACAGGTGAGGGAAGGAACAGGTGAGCCAAAGAGCCTCCGGAAGTTTTGCCTGCTGGGAAGCAGACTCATCCTGCCAGCCTCAACCTCTCCAAAGCTGCGGGCCCCAAGATGCTAGGGTGCCCTCCAGGAGCTCATAAAATGCAGCTGTCAAGCAGGCGGGCAGAGCCAGAGACGGGCTGTGCTGACGTTCGAGCTGCCAGCCACATCTGGCCTCGCCTTGCTGGCCCCCTCTTGGCAAAGATCCCCACGCAGGTAGTTCTCGAATTACGACCACAGCCGAGCCCCAATGTGCTAAACGAGACGTTTGTTAAGTGAGGTTTGCCTCATTTTACGACCAGTTGTTAAGGAAATCCCGGCAGTTGTTCAGTTAGTAACACGGTTGTTAAGTGACTCCAGCTTCCCCATTGCTAGTTCGAAGGTCACAAAAGGGGATCACGTGACCCCCGGGACATTGGAACTGTCATAAATACGAGTCAGTTGCCAAGCAGCTGATCCCGTGATGTGAGGATGCGACAGTGGTCGTTAAGTATGAAAAAGGACCCTAAATTGCTTTTTTCAGTGCCGATTGTAATCCACTACCCAGTTCAAAATTGTGATGCCCACCCGGTTCTTTGCCGATGCCTCATGCGACACCCAAAACTTGCGGTGGGGCCCAAAACGGCAGCCGTGAAGTATTCCCTCGTGATCCTTTCGTCTCACCCCAAACACGGGACGTTTGACTCAAAACACCAAGGGCAAAAAAAACACAGAATATTACAGTATATTACAGTGCAAATCACATTCCGTCTACCCAAGAGGTTTCTTTTTGCAAAAAAAGGGGGGTGTCTCCCCCACACCCCTTCCAGGCACCCTCTCGCTAAATTGGACTACAACGCCCCATCCTCCCCAGCCCCTTCAAATCGCAGCCCGAGGTTGCCGCCGGGGGTGGGAAGCCACGGATCTTAAGTGAGGGGTGGTCAAGGGGCATGGGGCAGTGCCCCACGCCTTTTTATCCCATTTGGGGAGGGGGGGTATAATCGCTTGCCAGACGTAGTCCATCGATGGCCAGATGTGCCAGTTCAAATTATTTCCAGAAATGAGGCGATTATTTGCACTTGCCAAACGCAGCTTCTTTGGGGAACGTCCTATCGTCTGAGCAGCCGTAAGGGACCCCAGAGACCCTCCCTCACCCTTCGGGTCTTTCCCTCCTGCAAACAGCCCGGCAGCTAGACCAGTGGAACATCTGCCTGGGGACACAGGAAGTCTTGCAGATGGCCGCTTTCGGAGGGGAACATAAGGCAAATGAGGCCCAGGACCACCCCTGTCCGCAGGAGAAGTGCCTCCAATATTTCACACTTCTCCGCAGTCCCCTTCTTGTCAGAGTGGGGGCCTTGCTAAAACCGGGCCGATGTTCAACCGGTTGAGTTCGGCCCTCTCTTGGTTGGAGATGTCCACCTTGGGGGAGCTGGCAGAAGGAGGCGCACCGTCGGGCAGCCCTGCCACCTTGGTCGGGCCACCGCCCGCCCCCAGCCCTCGCTCGGCCTCCCCCTGGGTGAGGTTGCGGATGAGATGGATGGCGTCCGGCCGCAGGCTGTTGTTGGCGGGGGGCTCCGTTGCACCGGGGACTCTCGGCAGAGACCGGCGTTGAATGCAAAGCAGCAGCAGCAGCACCAAGACGGGGACCACCCCGGCAAGGAGGAGAACCGGGGGAAGGACAGCAGAGAAGAGGGCAGCATTGGTCTGTCCTAAAGGGAGCCAGGTATGAAGAACAGAATAACAGAGTCAGAAGGGGCCCTGAAGATCTTCTAGTCCAGAGGCCCTCAACCTTTTGGGGCACCAGGGACCACCGGTTCCGTGGAGAGAGGTTTTTCCACGGATCGGGGTGTGTGTGTGCTTTTGTGTGCTGCCTGCATCCCATGGCTGGGCCTTTGCTTGTTTGTGTGGACCCTCTGTTGTGTGGGGAATTCTGGGGCTTGAAGTCCACCTATTTCCCAGTGGCCAAGGTTGACAAACGCTGTCTGAAAAGATCGGCATTAATGCCAAAGCTGCAACCTTCAAACATCGGAGAGACCCCCCCCTCCCCTCAGGACCCACCTTTGCACCCCTCCCCCAAGCAGGGCTCTTGCAGGATCTGACACGTGGCATCTTCAGGGCACACGCACGTGTAGCTTCCTCCTCCATCTTGGCAGATGGCACCTTTGGGGCAAGGATTCGGAGAGCAGAGATTGGCAGAGACCTGCGGGAGAAAGCCGAGGGGGGGGGAGGGAGGGAACGGCAGGGAGAAAGAGTGGGGGATATTCAGAGCTGCTGGAGACTATTTGTGAAAAATTGGTGTGTGTGTGTGTGTTTGTGTGTGTGTTTGTGTGTGTGTGTTTTCCATTGTTTTCCTCTCCCCGCTCTCTCCACTCCTGTGCATTATGAGAGCCAACAGACACGGATTATGGGGCCTGGGAAAGGCCCATCGGTCTCCATGGGGAGGTCACTCAGCATTTCCACCAAGGAGTCTCACAAACCAGTTCCGTCTAGTGGTGAAGGCACCAGGCTAGAAAACCAGGAGACGGTAAGTTCTAGTCCCGCCTTAGGCACAAAAGCTGGCTAAGTGACTTTGGGCTAATCACCAGGAGACTGTAAGTTCTAGTCCTGCCTTAGCCACAAAAGCCAGCTGGGTGACTTTGGGCCAATCAGCAAGAGACGGAGAGTTCTAGTCCTACCTTAGGCATGAAAGCCAACTGGGCGACTTTGGGCCAATCCCCCTCTCTCAGCCCAACCCACCTCATAGGGCTGTTGTTGTGGGGAAAACAGAAGGAGAAAGGATCACTAAGTGTGTTCTCCACTTAGGGTTATTTGTAAAAATAACACAGGCAGCATAGAAATAAAAATCAAATAATAAAATAAAATAAAATAATTAAATAATAAATAAAATAAAATAAGTAAAATAAATAAAATAAAATAATAAATAAAATAATAAAATAAAATAAAAAATAATAAAATAAATAAATAAATAAATAATAAAATAAAAATAAAATAAAACAATAAATAATAAAATAAAATAAAAAATAATAAAATAAAAAATAATAAAATAAAATAAAATAATAAAATAAAATAATAAATAAAAAATAAAATAAAATAAAAAATAATAAAATAAAATAATAAAAAAATAAAATAAAATAAAAAATAAAATAAAAAATTAATAAATTAATAAAATAATAAAATAAAATAATAAAAAATAAAATAAAAAATAAAATAATAAAATAATAAAATAAAATATAAAATAAAATAATAAAATAAAATAATAAAATAAAATAATAAAGCAAAGACCCTCCCTCGACACAGCTGTACAATTCCTGGGACTCTGCTGAGTTTCCACCCCAGAGAAAGCAATTACCTGGCACCACCTCCCACCAAAGCCCGGCGGGCATCTGCAAAAGAAGGTCTGGTTTTCTGCCTGCTGGCACTGCCCACCGTGCAGGCACGGGGCCTCTTGGCAGGAGCCATGTTCGGTCTCACATTCGGCACCGGTGTAGCCTGGCTGGCACGAGCAGGTCTGCCTGCCGCCCTCCATCTGGGGGGGAGAAGGGGCGAAAAGAGGGTGTGGGGGTCCCGGGAGTGAGCAGAGTGGGACGCAGGCAGTCCTCAACGTACGGCCACAATTGAGCCCGAAATGTAGGTTGCTAAGTGAGACATTTGTTAAGTGAGCCTCGCCCCACTTGACAACTTTTCATGCCACGGTCGTTAAGGGAATCAGGGCGGTTGTTCAATTAGCCACACGGTTGTTAAGTGAATCTGGTTTCCCCATGGACTTTCCTTGTCACAAGGACGCAAAAGGGAATCACTGGGAACCTGCAACCGTCTTAAGTACATGCCAGTCGCCAAGCATCTGAATTCTGATCACGTGACCGTGGGGAGGCTGCGACGGTCATAAGTGTGAAAAATGGCCCTAAGTCCCTTTTTTCTGTGTCGTTGTAACTCGGAACGGTCACTAAATGGACCGTTGTGAGTCGAGGACTATGTATAATGGTTCCAAGTTGGCAGGATTGGCTCTTCCACTAGTTAGGATGGTGCCCTGTCCTCGGATGGCCGCAGGAACTGGGACGAGACAGGGCTGGGAGGACAGCATCACAGGTAGTCCTTGACTTACAACCATTCACTTAGTGACGGTTGCAAGTTACAAGAAAGCTGGAAAAATTGACTTAGGACTGGTCTTCGCACTTACGCCCGTTGCAGCATCCCCACGGTCACGTGATTAAAATTTGGGCGCCTGGCAAATGGCATGTAATTAGGTCACGCAATCACCATTTGCGACCTTCCCCGTGGGATTTTGACGAGCCAAGTCAATGGAGGAAGCCGGGTTCACTTAACAACCGCATGTTTCATTTAACGACCGCAGTGATTTCTTTAACCGTGGCAAAGGAGGTCATAAAGTCAAGCATGCCTGCTTTATTGGCATGAGTCGCTTACAAACCACAATAAAAAACATTTTTAATAATCATAAAAACTGTCATAAAATCAAGTCTGGCAGCCTCAATTTATGACGACTTCCGACTGAAATTCCAGGCTCCATTGCGTTTGTAAGCCGAGGACCACCTGTATGAATCGGTGGAAAGGAAAAGGATACCAAAGTGTAATCACCTTTATTATCCTAGGATGGGCAGATTCTCCCACACACCTACCTTACAGGTGCCTCCGTTTTGGCATCTCTCTGGGCACAAATTCATTCCTGTGCAGAAAGTGGAGTTTAAAAAAAGGCAGAGTATTGATCAAAAAACGTGAAAACCGCAACTGAAGAACTGAATTCTGAGACTGTTAAACCCTGTCTTCGCCTTGAGGATTTCTAGGTTTCTTTCGGGACTTGAGGCAGTGGACATAGCAGCCCCCCCCCATATACCCCCGTCGTCCCATCTTTACTGCTACAACAACCCTGGGAGGTAGTTTGGCTTAAGGGCAGAATTGACCCCAGATATCCCCAATTTTCATCCACTTTATTTAAGAACCTTGTTTCCCAAACTTGGCAACTTTAAAATGGGTGGACTTCGACTCCCAGAATTCCCCAGCCAGCAAGGCTGGCTAGGGCATTGTGGGGGTTGAATTCCACCCATCTTCATGCTAGTTGGGGAATTCTGGGAGTGGAAGTCCACCCCTCTTAAAGCAGGCTGGCTGGGGGATTCTGGGAATGGAAGTCCACCCCTCTTAAAACAGGCTGGCTGGGGGATTCTGGGAGTGGAAGTCCACCCCTCTTCAAGTTGCCAAAGTTGAAGAAACCGCTTAAGATGATCACGGAGGACAGGGAACCTATGGCGAACTACAACTTCCCGCTGCCCCAGACACCACAGCTGGTCATGAAGGGTGCTGGGAAACGTAGTTCTGGTATAATGGCCTTGGAGGACTCGTTTTTTTCTGAAGAACACAAAGAACTCGGTGGGTCTGTGCAGATTTATTTCTTTCGTTTCCCCTTCCTGCAATCCCGGAATTAATCTGAGCAACCCTCTTACTGATGCTGCAGTTTGCGCCCATCCAGCCTCGCAAGCAGTCACAAACATAGCTCCCAACGACGTTTTTACACGCCCGAGCGTGAAGGCACGGTTTTCTCTGGCATTCGTTCACATCTGGAACGAAGAACAGAAGTAGAGAGAGTGCTCTTGCCAGCCTAGCTTCTTGCTGCCTCCCCTCCTTCTCCTCCTCCATTGGTCGTTAGTGTTCACAGGTACACTGCTCCTGAACATGGAAGCTCGCCGCTGGCAAAGCCCTGAAACCCAATGCCCGCTCTTTTTCTAAAAAAAAAAAACACCTCTTTCCAGTTGCCGTAATCGAGTCTTTTTAAGAAAAACGCATTCTCTAAATGCATTCAGATCTCAGGCAAGTCTTAGGCCTGGGGGGCTGCTCCGCTTAATGACCGAGTGGCCGGTCCCAATTGTGGTTGCTAAATGAGGATTACCTGCATAGAAAAAATCGTTGTAGACATATTCACTGTATCCAATTTGATTGTTAAGGCGGGGTCTTCAAACATGGCAACTTTCAGACTGGTGGACTTCAACTCCCAGAATTCCCCAGCTTAGCTCAACCCCACCAGCTCATTCAAGGTTTTCATCAAGCAAGGATTGGAAGTTAGTTTCCCAGCGGTGCCCGTAGGACACTCTTCTCTAATATGCACGCAGATGGCCAGAGAAACAACCAATCCTAGCCAGAATGGCCATCGCTGGTCCCTTCCAACTGTCCCCGGTCCCTGCAGAACGCCAAGGGGTCTGCAAAGCCTCCCCCCCCTTAGATCCTGCATCTTTTGCCATCCTCAGCTGTCCATCTCTGCTCACCGAACTCGCAGTTGCGCCCACTAAATCCTTCCGGGCAGAGGCATTCGTATTCATCCGGTTCCTTGTTGGCACAAGTGCCCCCGTTCTGGCACGGACGGTGTGATCCACAATAATTCAGATCTGAGCAAGAAGAAAAAAATGAGGATGTTTAGGATCTGATCCAAGGCTGGGAAAAAAAATACAGGCATGCCAAGCTGGCGCCCTCTAGTGGTCAGGATGTGAACTTTCATCCTCCTTGATCAAGCCGGCCAGCTGGGGAGGGGGTCACTTCTTGAGCGGAAGGAGGGGAAGAGGAACGAAAATATGTTGGGGGTCTTTTGCTCCTCCCCATGATCATAAGTGCAAAAAACCATCATAGGTCACTTTTTTCAGTGCCGTTGTAACTTTGAACGGTCACTAAATGAACCGTTGTAAGTTGAGGACCGCCTGTAGAAAGAACGGCCAAGAATTTTTTGCTCTGAGCTGCGTCTCGGGAGAGGGTCTCCGCTGCCCACTTTCTTCCCGTCTCAAAGCAAGGACCCTCTGAACAGGACCGAGGCGGGGCTCACCCTTGTTGCACAAAAGGCCACCCCAGTTGGTCTCGCAATCGCACTTCCAGGGCAGGGTGCAGCTTCCGTGGACGCAGCCGGGAAAGAGAAGGCATTGGTTGCAGTGGGGGCCCGTCCAGCCGTAATGGCACCTGAGAGGGGAAGGGTGGTTACTGCACAGCGAAGGGCCTTGAAATTGAGGAGGGGGAGCAGCTATCTGAGGCCTGACCCAATCTGATCCCTTAGCACAGGGGTCCCCAACCCTCGGGCCGTGGGCCAACACAGGTCCACACAAACAAGTGAAGCCCCATCTGTGGGATGGAGGCAGCACGCGAAACCACTCTTCCCCCCCCCTCTGGTCCACGAAAAACTTCTCTCCACGGAACCAGTCCCTGGTGCCCAAAAGGTTGGGGGTCTTTGTTTTAGGACCCTCGACTCCACTGGGTTGAAGAGAAAGCTTCTTTTACTAAGGATGTTGGCTGCAGTAAAGTCCGGCTAGATCTGGATTTCCCACACGCAAAAGACACAGAAAAGTTTCTCCCCCCACCCGGTGACCAGTCCGTCTTCAATCCATTGGAACTCACCCAGATGTTTTTAGAATGCCGGGATGTTTTGGCTAATCGGCACTCTTCCTCAGGGTTATTCTAAACCCCCTCCCCTTCCTAGCCTTTGCTGGCAGGTTGCCTGCGAGGCGCCAAGCTGGACCCAACAGGTGACTTAGGGAGTGGCCAGATAAGAGGGTCCAGGAGAAGAAAATCCTGACTTGCTGGGAGGCTAACGGGTTCGGGGCCATTCCCCACCTGCTTCCTTCTCACCTGCACTCGCCAGGTTCCTCGCAAAACCCGTGCGTTTTGTGGCACCCCTGGCGACAAACCGCTGCAAAGACACCGCAAGGAGAGGAGACCAACGTGAGGTGAGGCTCCGGACTGGGTCTTAAGCTGCTGCAAGGACAGGACTGCCCCCTTCTTTGGGGGGGATACCAGAACGATCATTTAGGTGGGTATGGTGCTTAGTAACCTGGCCTACCCCGAAGGGCTGGCCAAGAGGGAGTGAAAGAGAGGAAATTCGGCCTACGGATTTGCACCCATGGGGGAACGTCCTTGTTTTGGTGTTTGAAAGAAAGACTGAAAGGACACAGGGAGGGGGTCACTCCAGGCTGGAGACCCCACAGGACAATTCCTTTTGCATCGCTAGGTGCATGTGGAGAAGGGAGGTAGGGGCTGGTCTACCTGGCTACAGGTAAGACCGGGGTTAAGGAAGGAGGGCCGGGCCTCAGGTGCTCGCTTCTGTTTTTGAGGTGGAATATCAGCTTCCAGCATCTCAGGAATGGCAAGACTTAGGGACATCCCCCCAGACGGGTGTCAAAAAAAGTCAAGATGGCAGCTGGAAATAGGTGATGGAAGATCCGCCCCTTTTTAATGCACAGGTGACACACAGAAATACAGGTGGAGTTTGGGGATGCTGTTACGCCCATCAACCTGATCTGTTTGTCTGCTTCCCACCCCAGAAAAATGTCCCTAATCTTTTAGCTTGCGTCCATCTTGACTTTTTTGAACTCTCCCCCCCCCATCCAAGGCAGCTCCTAGTGGGGGGAAATTGGGGCAGGACAACCCCGCTGTGGGAGGAGCAGCAGGGCAATGGGGCAGCCTGTCCTTTTCTAGACCCTTCTTCCTCGCCCTGCCCCGCGCCAGCCCGCCAGCCCCGGACATACCCCGCTGGCACTTGTTCCCCGTCCAGCCGTCGAGACAGACCTTGTTCCCGGCCGCGTCGCAGCTATGGTGCCCGAAGAAATCGTCACGGGGCCTGCAGAGCAGATTGCACGAGGGCCCGTAGTAGTGCTCATGGCAGTGCACTCGCAGCCGGTACTCCAGCAGGGCGCTGCGCCCAGGATGCCGTAAATCCTGCCAGCCTTCACCTGGGTTCACCATGCCCGAACGGCTCACCTGCTCAATCAGCTGCCCTGAGCCTGGTGAGGAAGGGGGGAAGGGAAGGGTGGGTGGTCCTGTCCTCAATCATACCCCACATCTGGTGGGAGGCACAAAGCGCAAAGAGCCAGCAGCCCCAGGAGAAAAAAGCAGGAGACGGCAACGACATACAGGATAAGGACCACAACAGACACTCTGTAGGACCAAGAGGCAGAAGGCTGACAGAACGCGTCCACAAACACCAACTAGCAGTCGGGAGATGGGATGAAAAAAATCTTAATTGCACAAGACATGGACCAACTTAACCATGGTTTCAAGTGGGAAACCGTGAGCATCCTAGATTTAAAAACTCTAGAGAATTCCTGGCAGGTTTGCACTCAGATAAATCAGCCATCAACAGACACTTAGAGATAAACAACATTTATCCGCCCTTCGATGGAAAAAGAAACAAAAGGGCAATCCAAAAGGCAAAAAGAGCATAACGCCTCCTCGCCAACAATCACCACCCAGTTAAGCAGAGGTTAACACTGAGATTAACCGTAAATCGACAATCGTTAAGTAAACAATGCCCCAATCAAGGAATGATCAACTCAGACAAACAAGCTATCGGTCAACAACAGCCTAATCAAGCAACCACCAAGAAAATTCCCACCAACACTGACAAGGCAAGCCATTTCTATGTAAACAGAGAGTGAAACCCTTCTGGAACTGATGATGTTACATAGTTGGGTCATGAAACGTCTGCAAAACCACCATACCCAGACAGCACCAAGGACCCCCAAGAACAACTTATCTTCCTCTTCCTCCTCTCCACAGACCGCACTCGCCACTCCCTGCTGACGTTACCTACTTGGGTCATGAATCGTCTGTAAAAGCACCAGCTCAGAATGCACCAAGGACCGCACAGGTACAAAACTGACATATTTAATCCAGTTCAAAAAGTTCAACGGTCCGAAATTTGGAAGTTGGCTATCATCGATGTTGACGGCGGCAAGAGTTTTTTATATGTGCAAAAATGAAAAGTCCACTCCCACAATGGAAGAACAGATGGAAAAGGGGATAGCAAGGAAGGCAAAGTTAATTGTTTAATTAAAGAGAAGGACTTATCTAGTTTTGTTGCCATTTGGAAATCGCTTCTGGACTTTACGCTTGAAACAGAAAACAAAATTAAAATTTGATTTTATGTTTTGGCAGACCAGATTAACTTGGTTGTTATCTACTAGAAACGTACAGCAGAAAGCTGGGGATGAATGTGTATTTTGTATTTTACTGCACTGAACAGAGTCAAAAATTGCTGCATTTTTTTCTCCGTTTCTTCTTATCTGGCACCCCTTTCCATCTGTATTATAAACTTTACTAAAAAAAAACAACAGCCATTATCAACAGTCCCAAGCATTTTGTTCATCCTTGAGTGCCCTGGACAGAGCTGGAAAGGAGCATAAGTTACTAGTCCACAGCGAGGCTGGCCCACTGCCTGCCACTGCAACAGGGATGAAAAATTAAACTCATTTACCCTCCCACCCAATACCCCTGCAGGTGCCACTGCCCCGCCGCTGGAAATCCACAAACGAGCCCTCTCTTCCTGCTTATTCCTGGCAACTGCTACTTAGAGATAGACTGCCTCTCTCCATGGAAGTTCCAGTTTTTACAGGCCAGAGGCTAGTGACTAGTTCAAGGCTCGGCGATCAGGAATGTAGCCGAAAGGAGAATCAAAAGCCCAGAGGTAGGGCATTATTTACTTTCAATCTTTCCTACACAGTTAACAACTAGCTTGGCCACTTCTCAGTTTAAAAAAAAAAAAAAAGGCACACCGAACGGCAATCTGAATGGCTGCGGGCGCGAATTTTGCCACCTGCTCTGCTCTTTCGCCTCGATCCCAGCACCTAAGGGAGGCACGTACAGGTTCAAGAAGTGCAACACAAAATCCAGGTGTTTTGGAATGCCCCACTCCTTTCTACCTTGCACCCACCACCTGTATGCATCAAGGGAGAAAAAGGACTCCTTACCTGGGCTGGTGACGTCACTGGCATTGGCAGCATCCCAGGCCTCCAGAACCAGCGAGTACGAGCGCTAGAAGGGACAAGGCAGAAGCTCACCAAAGCGTTCCCAGCCTGAACCTCTGGAGACGTATTTTTAACCACACACACCCTCCACTCTCCCAGCTGTGCTCACAAACCTACTGAATGAGAATGAAATCCATTTTTACCGTATCGAAGCCGTACCTCCGCTGTGCTGAATTGGGATGCAGACAAACCAATTAATCAATAATAATAATGCATAAAAGTAGAATGGTTGTGGCAAAAGATAAGCGAAGAGAATGAAAGGTGCCTTGAGTGTAATCCCAAAACATCTGGAAGCACCCACTAAGGGCAGGTCAGTCAGCTGGGTCTGTTAAGGTCCCTCAAAGCACCCCCCAAATGCCACAGAGCACTGTTTCCCAACCTTGGCAACTTCGAGTTGGATGGACTTCAATTCCCAGAATTCCCCAGCCATCCAGGAATTCCGGGAGTTGAAGTCCCCACGTCTTAAAAGTTGCCAAGGTTGAAAAACACTACCAGAGACCCTCATCCACAGCCAAAGGGAGGGAAGGCAGGTAAGTAGTATGAGTTCAACCTATATGGCATCCTTCAGATGCCTACAACTACAACACCCATCCCTACTAAAGGCTAAACTGGATAAGGATGGGGGGATGCCAAGCATCAAAACTGAAAACCACAAAAGATGGGTAAATTTTGTTCAGAATATGGGATTAGAAAGTATTATTTAGCTTTTGAATAACTTATTGTATAAAGTTGTTATGCTTAGATTTGTTGATTTTATTGTAATGGAGTTAAAGGGGTTCTAAAATTTTTAGGATTTATGTATAATTGATTGATGTTTATTTAATTTTTTATGTTCTTTTTTGTTGTTTTTAGCTCTGTACTCAGCTCTGGGAAGGGGGAGAGGGCTAATGGGAGGAGGGAGGGAGAGAGGTGGGGAGGGATTTTATTGTAAAATGTTTATAAAAATTTCAATTAAAAAAAAAAACTGGAAACCATCAAAAGGAAGGCCAGGAAGGCTGATGAATTCGTGTCACACAACCTGCAGCTCTGGAGGCAACTTTTGAACCCTCCAGACTCTGATTCTCTGCTTGTTTGCTGCTCTGACTAAACCAGTTTGCCCCATTCATCCAGTTATCCAGGTATTGTACAACTCTCCGAGCCACAAGCTAACCACGTCGGTTGTGTTGGCCCGGCCCCACTGCACCAGGCAAACATTTCTTAGCACGTGGCTGGTGCTGCTCTATTTTCCTATTGGTTGAGACGATGCTCCCACAAAAGCAAGGTCTCGCTGCCATAAGAATTTCCCACAATGCCCCAGGGCTGGGCTTCCTCAGGGCATTGTGGGACATCCAACAGATGGGCAGCCGTCTTGGGCTGCTCAGAACCCACAAAGGTCCAGTTCGGAAGGCAGTTTCAGATGTCAAACGGCAGCTGGCTTACTTCCAGATATCTTTTATCTATTCATTAAATTTATTTATTAAATTTATACTCCAGCTATCTCGTTCTCCCCTGGATCTGAGCAGCATCAATGGGAGGGTGCGGATGGCAGAGAAAGATATATTCTTCTAAAACAAGGATCTTGAGTGTCTCCTGAACAGCCGCTACCCTTGGCTGACGTTCCCTTGGGGAGAGGGGAAAACATTTCAGAACAGCCCAAAGGTCAGAGGTCATCCGGGCTCAATGACCTTTCCCAGGACCTGCGGCCAGAAACCAAGTAGCTGTTGTTCAGTTTGCAAGGCAGCCTCCCAGAACTGAAGCAGCTCTGCTTTGTAAGAAAACCCGCACGTCTCCAACCCCTCATGGTCCTTCAGATGTGAATTAATGGTTTAACACAGGTAAGTTGCTTTAAAAAAAAAAATCAGATTTTTTTTCCTTTAAGGATGCTTTGTCTTCTCCTACTGACCTCCTCAAGTGGGCAGAAACTCGATCAGAATAGAGCTGGGAGGGAACTTAGAGGTCTTCTAGTCCAACCCCATTCAAGCAGGAGACTCTACCATTTCTGGCAAATGGCTGTCCAGTCTCTTCTTAAAAACCTCCGGTGATGGAGGACCCACAACTTCTGGAGGGAAACTGTTCCACAGGTTAATTGTCCTCACTGTCAGGAAGTTTTTCTTTAATTCCAGGTTGCTTCTCTCCTTAAAAAGTTTCTATCCATTGCTTCTTCTCCTGCCCTCTGGAGAACGGACCCCCCCCTCTTCTTTGTGGCAGCCCCTCAAATACTGGAATACTGCCATCACGTCCTTCTCTCTCCCTCTGTTGTTTATCTCCCCACCCCAAATCTAGCACTGCACAAAACTGATTTAAGCACATTTCTCCAATTTGGTGGGCGAGACATTTGGGAACCGGTTCAGATCTGCAATCCAGCCTTTTTAGGAACCTGAACGGGAAACTCTGTGCAAATCGGCAAGAAATCCGGAATTAACCTCTGTGAAAAAGGTTAATTGCAGAGCCCGTTTGGGATCTAGGATGAAGAGATGGAAGGAGGATGGAAATGAGGTTTAAATGGGGTCTTCCTGCAGAGTGAGACCCAGAGGCTCTGGCAGAGAAGCTGGGGGGGGGGTTTGTGTGTGTGTGTGTGTGTGTCATCTTTTTCCCCTGGGCAAACCAGAAGAGATTTTGAATCTTGCTCGAGTGATAAATCGGATGAAGCTGTCCCTGCACAAAAGCGGCTGCAATATTAATTTCTTCTCCGTTGCTTTTCCCAATCTGTGCATCTTTTTCTAGTCATGAATTCTGGGAGTTGAAGTCCACGAGTCATAAAAGAGCCAAGGTTGCCTACCCCTGATTCTAATCCAGGGTTTCTCAATCTCAGCAATGTTGGGTTTCGGGGGATGCAGCTTTACAGGTAATTCCCGACTTATGACCACAGTTAGAACCAGAATTGCCACTGCTAAGCCAGTCGGTTGTTAAGTGAGTCACACCGTCTTCCAGGTTTCACAGAGACGCCTTCCTCAACTTGCAAAACGTTCGTTTGGCGACCAGTGTCACGGCGTCACTGAAAAACGTGACTGATGAACGGATCCTCGCCCAGATTCGCCTAACAGCCACGTTACTAACTGAACAACCGCAGCAAGGAAGGTCTTAAAAGTCACTTTGCAACTGTCTCGCTTAGCAACGGAAAGTCTGGGCTCCGCTGTGGTTGTAAGTTGAGGACTACCTCTAATCTTGGCAGATTTATAGTCCTGGGGGTTGCCAGATCTAGAGTTGTGAGAATCTTATAGTTAACTCTCCTGCAGCCCCCTCCCCACAAAAAAGGAGGACAAAAAGAAAAGCATCTTACCGGCCAGGCAAAGTCGAAAGGGATCAGCACCGTCCCAGCCCGGTCCGAGGGCTTCTGCAGGAGGGCCGAGAAGAGGTTGCCCCCCAAAACAGGGGTGGTGGCAGCCCCCAGCACGCAAGGCCCCCCTGGGTGTGCCCGCAGCTGGTACTCCTTGAGGCAGACCCGGAAGAAGGTGTGGCAAGGCTCGGCCACGGGGCACGGCGGCTCCCGCCCACCCCTGCAGCATCGTCCGTCCGCCAGGACCCCCTTCTCGTTCCGGGCCAAGCGGACCTGCAGTTCAAAGACGCCCATGGCCTCTGAGACCTGAAAGGGGCAGAGACAGGGATGAGCTGCGGAGCGACATGAGTCTGCGAAAGGTGAAGAAGAAGAAGAAGAAGAAGAAGAAGAAGAAGAAGAAGAAGAAGAAGAAGAAGAAGAAGAAGAAGAAGAAGAAGAAGAAGAAGAAGAAGAAGAAGAAGAAGAAGAAGAAGAAGAACAACAACAACAACAACAACAGCTGCTGCTGCTGCTACTACTACTACTACTACTACTACTACCACTGGAGGAGCAATTGATAGAGGGGAATCCCCATCTCCAACCTGGCGCCGCTTCTCCCCCCCCCCCCAAACTCAGCCCCGGCGTGCTCATAATAAGAGGCACAGCTCACTTCTGCCTCACCACCACGGTGGGGAATGCGTTCTAGTTATTAAATGCGCTTATTTGTGAATTAAATGTATTTATGTATTGAACTGATGGATTAAATTTATTTAATAAATGTATAGGCTGCCCATCTCCCGATCAAGTGGTTTACGACATCATCCGTAGGAGGGTAAAACAATTAGAAGATTAAAATCAATAAAGCAATTAGGCAGGAAACAATTAGAATCTTGAAGTCATCTGAAGCCTTCCAATGGCTTCTTGCCCAGAGTTTGTTTATTAAACGATTGACTGATTTATTAAATGATTGATTGATTGCTAAGATTTTTATGCTGCTCCCTTCCCAAACTGACTAAGAACAGCATGTAAGGAAAAATACTTAAAAACAAATCCATTTCTCCTTCGGAGTCCCCCTGAATGGCCAGCCTCCACTGTCAGAGTAACAGTAGAAAGAGTGCCCCTGAACATAGGCAGAGTGCTTTGGCCTACCCTTAGCCACAAGTGTATAATGAGTGTAGTGAGTCTTCCAAGCACTGAGATCCTTATAGAGCCTTCTAGCCAAATTTGTTCTCATACAAATCTTTTCCTCTCATTTTAACACTCTTTGGCATTTCCAGGTGCAAATTCCAGAGCAGCTTCGATTTACTGGCCTAATCCCTGGCAAGCAAACACAATCTCTTTGTACATGCTCAGAGGAATCAAGAGAGATGAGAGAAAGGAAAGCCTGAGGCTCAGATCCTCATGGAATGTTTGCTCTCAAAGCCTTTCACGCTAGGATTCATGGCTTGTTGTACTTGGTTGCTGACAGGAAATGCACTCTCGGTATGCTCAGAGGGATCTTTGATGCTGTCTGTCTCTCTCTATGGAAGGAAGGAAGGAAGGAAGGAAGGAAGGAAGGAAGGAAGGAAGGAAGGAAGGAGAGGCGGGAAGGAAAGAAAAGAGACAGACAGAAAGAACAAAGAAAAAAGGGTGGGAGGAAGGAAGGAAGGAGAAAAAGGAGGAAGGGAGGAGAAGGGAACGAGGAGGAGAAGAAACAAAGAAAATGAAAACAGAAGGAGAAAGTGAATGACAGAGAAGAAGGGAATTAAAGAGAAAAAAGAAGAAAAAAACGCAAGCAACTGCTGGCTTGGGGAATTCTGGGAGTTGTAGTCCACAGAGCTGTCTAGGTTGGACAGCCCTACTTTAAACCCCACTTTTGAAGCTCTCACAGGGAAAGACAGCTATTGCTGGGTGGGGCACATCAGTTGCCGAAGGGCCCCCCCCCACTTCCACTTGCTTGCCTGCACTGAGAAACTAAGCAAGGGCCACACCTTGCTTGTCCCCCCAGGGAGAAAGATGGGGAGGCCTCTGGAGTTTCAGTACAGCTACTTTGGTGGAGGTGGGGAGGAAACTGGGCCTCTAGGGGCCCCTGTTTAGGGGGGGTCTAGAGAGGGACCCCCTCTCTCTGCAGCTTGCAAGGCAGGAAGGGCCGCATCCCAGCCGGGCCAACCTGCACCTCCGCAACAGGTTCCCAGCCTCGCAGTTGTTAAATAAGGAGAGTCCCAAGAGGGTCCTCTAAAATTGAGGGTTGATCTGGGGGGGGGGGGATAGCAGAAGAGTTTGGGGGGGCGAGATCTGAATCAAATGAAATCAAAACGGAATCTTTCCGGAGCCAGGGCAAAGAAAACTCGGGCAGCTCCCAGGCTGCCCGCCGAGGCTACCCCGAGCTACTCAGCGGCCGCATTCACACGTAACGCGGCGTGTCCCGGATTTAATCCCAAATCCCCACGTCCAAGAGGGACCTCCTATCGCTTTATGGGAAAGTCCGAACTCAGCGAACTCCGGACCGGCTTCCCGCGAACGTTTAGCCCTCTTTTAGCCTGGCCTTTCCCCCCCCCCGCAACAAACCAGGTTTCCAGAGGGTCTTCCTCTCCCCCGGGGCTTCTGAGAAGCTAGGTGGGGAAGGGTCGGCCGGAGAAGAAGGGAACTCTTCCGCCGCCCAGCTCCGACTCTCTCTTAGCTTTCTTTTGCGGAGGGAGGGGGAGCAAACGAGTAGCAGTTAAACTCGCGTGTAAACGGGGCCAGAAACTGCACCGGGCGAAGCTCTCCAGCTGGGAGGCTCTCCGGGTCTGCAAAGCGTCGCCCGCGGGCTCCCCGGCTGCGCCGCGCATCTCCCGGCCGCAGAGACGCAGCACCTTCGGGAGTGCGCTGCCTCGGGCCGGCGGGCCGTGGACCATGGGGCCGGGAGTCCTCCCCAACCCGGCCCCGGCGGACGGAGGGTCGCTCTCACCTGGAGCCGCACCTGGAGCAGCAGGAGCAGCAGCGCCGGGGCGCAGCGCGGCAGGCCGGGCGGGCGCAGCCTCATGGTGGCGGCGGGGCGAGCCCTCCTGGCCGGGGCCGGCGAGGCAGCCCTCCTGGGCCGCCCGATCGCGGGGCATAAAGCGGCGGCGGCAGCTCGACGGGACGGGCGCTGCGGCTCTGCCAGGCTGCCAGCCGCGGGAGGCGGGGCCGGTGCCCCCCCCAGCCCCGCCCGGCCCGGCCCGGGGCACGTGCGGGGGCCGCCGGCCTCACCCTGCTTGCCAGGCTGCTGGGGACGGGGGTGGGGGGATGGGACGACAACGCCCATCGTCCCCGGCCGGCGGACCGGGGCTGGGGGAGGTGGGGGGGGCGCTCGGAGGGGGGCTGCCTTCGTCCAGGGAGGGGCAGGGGCCGGGTTCGGCTCTGCTGGGTGCCCGAGGAAGCCCGGCAGGGCCCCCCCATCCCCCTACTTCTTTGGGGGACACCGGGACCCCCCCAGCTCATTCCACTCCAGGCAGTCAGAGAAACGCCTGGCGGCTTAGTCCTCAACTTACGACCTCAATAGAGCCCAACGTTTCTCTTGCCGCGGGGGGGGGGAGAAATTTGTTAAGGGGGTCTTGCCCCATTTTGCGACCTTTCTTGCCACATTTGTGAAGCGAATCGCTGAAGTGATCAGTCAGTAAGCCGGTTGTTAAGTGAATCCGGCTTGCCCCATTGACTTTGCTTGTCAGAAGGTCGCAAAAGGGGATCCTTGCCAAGTGTCTGCATGTTGATCACGTGACCCAGAGACGCAACGGTTGTAAGTGTGAAAAAGGGCGCTAACTTCCGTTTTCAGTGCCGTTGTAAGAAAGAACCCTTTGTTGGCTGTAACAATCAATAAGCAAATGGTTGCAGAGGACCACATGTGGTCCACCGTGACTCTTTATCGGGGTGGACTACATGTCCTTGGAGGCCCCCTCTCGCCCTAACCTCAAAACCTGACCGAGTCCTTCAAACAGCCCCCCCCATTTTGAATAGCTTCCCAGTTCCACAGCCTTTAGCATCTCTCTGAGGTTACTGCTTGACTTAACCACAACTGAGAGTGGAATTTTGGTCGCTAAGTAATGCAGTTGTTAAATGAATCATCCCGTGACCAGAACTGATTTCTGCAGGCAGTTTGACTGCAGCTGTTAAGTGAGTCACACAGTCCTTAAGTGAATCCAGCTTCTGCACTTGACTTTGCTTGTTGGAAATCTGGCTGGGAAGGTTGCATGTCACAATTGCGCAACCGCAAGGAGCTGCAGCCATCATGAATGCTGGTTGACAAGTGCCTGAATTGCGATCCCACGTGCAGAGGAGCAATGCGATGGTCGTAACTTTGAAGACAGGTCATAAATCACTTTTTTCAAAGCCTCACAACTTCGAACCATCATTAAATGGTTGACAGTCGAGGACCGCCTGACTGAATTTTTAAAGGACCCCCTTAATGTGTCCTAGACCAGGGCTCCCCAACTCCAGGTCCGTGGACCAGTACCGGGCCCCCAGCATGCCAGCAACCGGTCCACACAAACAAGCAAAGCCCCATCTGAGGGATGCAGGCAGCACACAAAACCACACAAAAACCTCTCTCCACGGAACGGGTGGTCGGTGGTCCCTCCTGTCCTAAACTGTTCTCAAAGCCCAGTCGTCAACTGAAACCTTTTGTGGCAAAAAAAAAAAAGGCAAAGTGTGATGATTCAATTATCTTTGGAAATTTGGAGCACATTATCCCGAAAAGAGCTCTGGAAGAAAATTAACACTAGCCATCCTCCAGCTTTTTCTCTTTCTTTCTTTCTTTCTTTCTTTCTTTCTTTCTTTCTTTCTTTCTTTCTTTCTTTCTTTCTTTTCTTTCTTTTTCTTCCTTCCTTCATCTCCTTTCCTTTTCTTTCTTTTTCCTTCCGTCCTTCCTCTCCTTTTTCTTTTTTTCTTTTTCCTTCCTTCCTTCCTTCCTCCCTCCCTCCCTCCCTCCCCCTCTCTCTTTCTTTCTCCCAACTTGGAAGTGAGAAAAAAAAAAATAAAGGAAATTTTAGATTACGTGTTGTGGTTGGGAGATACCTGGTCCCCTGGCAGTGGAGAAAAAAAGTGAGTCCATTGTCATCTTATAAAGAGAGAGTAGTTCAACCGAAGGGGGCCAAGTGCCCCCCTTCCTAAAGACATCCCACCCACCCCCACCCCCCAGGACCAGCCCTTCTCTGTTTGTTTAAGGCCCATCAGGCAGCCCGGCCTTTGCTAGGTCTGCTCCGCTTTCAGCAGACCTCATAAAGCCCCGTTGTAACTTAGGATGGATATAGGAGGCAGGTGGGACTCAATGGGGCTTTGCCTCTGGGAAAAGAAGTCCCCCCCCTCCTGCCAAAAGAAAGAGGAGGGTTTTTTTTAAGCCCCCCACCCCATCCTCTCGAGATGGAATTAACTCTTAGCTGGCTGGGAATCCCAGTAAGCCGTTTCTGGAGAGGGAAGGAAACGGCAGGCCGGGATGGGAGAGAAACTCAACTTTCTGAAACTCTCCTTCTCAAAACTCTCGGCTCCGAAAGGAGGAAGGGAGAAGTGCCCCTTAGCGTGGGAGGGTTTTCCAAGTGAAGATTGGTGTGGGGAGAGGAGAGGGGGAACGGGTTGGCATGTCCCTGAGAAAAAATCCAGGCTGGGAAACCAGTTCCACCAGAGGTGCATCTCCAGGCAGATGATGCTCGAGTGAGATTACTGGAACAGGAGCAGGAGGAGAGGACCATGAAGAAATTCCCGTCCACACCTGCCCGAAAGGAAAGGGAACCAACAGGAGCAGAAATCGACCCCATTGGGGGATGGGTGGGAGCCCCCTTCCCTGCCAAGGGGGCTCACGGTTGCTGCCCCGCTTGCTCTTTTGGCAGAGAAGGGAGTGATGTCCTTTTTTTTTATCTTAATTTTTTTTTATTTTTTAAAACATACATTCATTTATAAAAATACAATAAAATTTTAAAGTAGAAACCCCCCCCTTACCCTCCCTCCCACCCCCAACCCCCCTCCCTTCACTTCCCAGAGCAGAATACAGGGTTAATAATAAGAAAAAAAAATTATAATAATTAAGAAAAAAGAAAAAAAAGAAAAAAAAGAGAAGAAAAAAAAATATCGTGATTAACCTTTAACTCCATAACCTATAAAACAATTCTCTATAATATTTAATATTCACTCATAAAATAAATGAAACTTTTTAATTCCATACTTTTTCTGAATATAATCTATCCACCTAAGGGAGTGATGTCCTTAACGCTTGCCAACAGTAACTACCCCCACCCCCCACCCCTCCGTGCCATCCCAGCGGCTCAGGAATAAACAAGGCTCCAGCCTGCAGCCAAATGATGCTGCGGATCTGAGCAAAAACATTCCGGGAATCTGCCTGGGCAAGTCGATCCGTTTCCCCCCCCCCCGAAAAAAAAAGTTTAATCTACTTTTCACTCCGATCTAAGCCTGTTTTTTCACGTCCCCTTTTGTTGTGGTGGCAAACACTTCCTTCCTCTATGGAGGCATCCTTTTGGGTTGCCCCCTCCCCTGAAAAGGGGAGGGGGGAGCACCAAATATTTGCCTGTACAGGTAAGTCCTCGTCTTATGACAACTGAGCCCAACCTTTTTTGTTAATTATTTGTTATGTGAATTTTGCCCCATTTTACGGCTTTCCTTGTCAGAGTTGTTAAGTGAATCACGGCAGTTGATGTTAGTAACTCGGTTGTTACGTGAATCTGGAATCACCCCTTGACTTTGCTTGTCGCAAAAGGGGATCGCATAACCTTGACACACAGCAACGATCATTAAGTATGGACCATCACATGATCATGGGAATGCTGCAAAGGTTGTAACTTGAGAAAAACGGTCATAAGTCACTATTTTTCAGTGCCGTTGTGACTTTCAACCGGTCACTAAATGGACTGTTGTTAAGTCGAGGACTGGCTGTATCTTCCAGTTTTCTCCTTCTTGAAAAGAAATGTGTTTCCCCCCCCCCGCATTTTGATTCAAATTAGTACTTAGATACCCTCAAAGTCAACTACACTGAATTTCATTGCAGGTTTTGGTTCCCTCCACCTTTTATACAGCCACTCCTGGTTTAGTGACGGCCTCGTTTAGTGACCACTGACAGCTGCCAACGGTGGTGAAAAAGTAACTTTGCGACCAATCCCTGCATTTAGAACTGTTCAGGGCCTGCAGAGTGAAGGAAAGCTGAAGTCGGATCATAAGCTCAGTCATGTTACCCCTACCAATTGATTTACTTAACAACGGAGTTCCTGGTCCCCATTATGGTCAGTAAATGAGGACTGAGGCGGCAGTCAAAGAGGCTAGTAGTTTTAGGTTGGATAAGGTGGCAAGAAGTCTTTTTTTTGACCAGAAGGTGGCAGTGTTTCCATCAGCTCTTTCCACTCCCATTGGCAGCTCCGATGCTCCACCCAGAACTCTCCACCAATCAACATTTTGGCAGATTCCACTAAGAATTCTGGGAATTGCAGTTCAACCTGCATGCCAGGTACACAGAAATCCCATTATAGGACCTAGCTTAGAAATAAGCAATGATCTAAGACTCTGCCCATCTTCAAGCAGCCAAGAGGGTTGAATCTCTTGGAAGCGAGAAAGAAAGTTTGATACCAAGCTGGTCAATCTTTCAATAGTTATTTTATTTTAACATCTCTGGTTTAATTACAGACAGTAAAATAGCTCAGTAGGTAGGAGGGCGAGTGGCAAAGAAATCCTGCATGTTTATAAAAACCCTCCAGAGTCAGCATGGGGAAAAAAAAAAATACAACACCAAAGTGCTTGTCGTCTATTCGCTTGCTTCTGTTCTCAGCCACAAAAATAAAAAATAAAATAAGCCGAAAGGACTACAACTCCCAGGGCACGAGTGAGCAGGGGTAGGGTAGGGGGTCTGTCCCCATTCCCAGGTCTGTGATTTCCCCATGGCCCCCTCTTTTGTCACAGGCTTCAGAGGAAGAGAACTTGGAGGGAGGAAGGGTGGGAGGGAGGGAGGAAGTGTAAACCAGGAGGAAGGACTCTGTTAACAGGAAGGAAGGGAGGAAGGAAGGAAGGAAGGAAGGAAGGAAGGAAGGAAGGAAGGAAGGAAGGAAGGAACCGTAAACCAGGAGGAAGGACTCTGTAAACAGGAAGGGAGGGAGGGAGGAAGGAAGGGAGGGAGGGAAGGAGGAAACCGTAAATCGGGAGGAAGGACTCTGTAAACAGGAAGGAAGGAAGGAAGGAAGGAAGGAAGGAAGGAAGGAAGGAAGGAAGGAAGGAAGGAAGGAAGGAAGGAAGGAAGGAAGGAAGACCATCTACCCGGCGAGCAGATGGCTTTCTCTCCACTACCGCCCCAGGGAAAAGGATTTGTGTCTCTGTGTGTCCCTGTTGTGTGTTTTTTTTGTGTGTGTTTTCTTTCTCTCTCCAAAGAAACCAAAATCGGCGAGATTTCCAAGCTGCAAAAACCGGGAATCGCAGAAGCTCCGCCATCCCGAGACACCAAAAATCCCAGACTCCCATCATTCCAAACCGTCACTCAGAGGGGACGAAAAAAGAGTCCTCTGGGATTTGGGAACCCCGACGAGGCTAAGTGGGGTGACCCTGGATCCATCCCGATAGCTAAGGAGGGGTCTCCCTTGAGGAGAGAGGGGGGGTCTCTGGAAATCGGGGGGTGGGGCAGGCCTGCATTGGGGGAAGATCTCATTCCATGAAGAATGAAAGGCACCTTGATTTATCTTCCAGAGAGGGATCAGATGGAAGGGGAGGCAGACGCTCCTGCACCCCCTGCCTTCGCTTCTGCCAGGCTCTCTTCCATCCCCCAAGCCCTGGATTAACCTGCAAGGCGGTGTGTGTGTGTGTGTGTGTGTGTGTGTGTGTAAACAAGGCCAAGGATGCATCAGCCCCCCCCCCCCCAAGGATGCAGGGAAAGCTGTTGGTCAGCATTGTGGATGTAACTGAGGCCTGGTCTCTTCCTTCTCCAAGGTTGAGAAACACTGGCCCATGGATGAAGAAAACTTAATGTGTGTGTGGGGGGGGGTAGGGGGGGGTGGATGGCCCTTTCACCCCCATATTCCTATCTAGAACGGCCCCCCCGGTCTTTGGCTGCCCCAGCTTGGATCCTATGAGCTGAATTTCGGCTCCAACGGACGCAGGTGCTGCTCAGCAGAGGAAGGAAGGCGAAGAGGGGAGAGGAAAACTCCCAATTTGGAGACTTTGGGTGGGCGACAAGGGAGACGCCATGCCGGCTCATAAGAAAGCCCCCCCCCCACACTTTCCCCTCCAGCTCTCCTTTCTCAGCCATGCAGCAGCCGGGAAAGGAAGGAGGGGAGGGCTGTGGAAAGAAAAACAACAACAACCGAGAGCCTAGGGAATAAATACAGTTTTCCAAAATATATAACTTTTTTTTAAAAAAATCCTTTGTTTCCGACGCTCCGACTTGCTGTTTTCTTGCACTCCAGGTTGGCAAGTGCAAGAAAAGAACCACCTGGGGGGGGGGGTCCCTACCTGCTTTTTGAGGAAAGGGACTCTCCTCCCTCAACCCTGTCACATCATTTTTCAACTCCCCCCCCCCCCAGTTCCTCAGCTGCCCTGCCCTGTCCCCCCCTCCATCTGCAGCACAATCCTGCTCCGTAGTGAAGGCTGATGTTGGGAGAAATGATAAAAAAAATAAAAATGAAATCACGGTCACTGCCCGGTGAGTGGACCTCCGGGAGGTCTTGGGGGGGGGGCGCGGTCAGCAGAGGCGGAAGGCAGCTTATAGCATCCCCAGCTGCAGCAGCGAATTGGCGTAAACCATTGGCTTAATGTTCGGATGAGGCTGAGGGAGGAATAGGGAAAAAAGGAAGGAATGGAGAGAAAGGGAAGGGAGGAATAGAGAAAAAAAAGGAAGGGAGGAATAGAGAAGGCAGGAAGGAAGGAAGGAAGGAAGGAAGGAAGGAAGGAAGGAAGACGAACAGGGAAGCAGGGAAGAAACAGGAAGAATAGAGCAAAAAGGGAGGAAGAGAAAAGGAAAGAAGGTAGGAAGAAGAGGGAAAGGAATAAAAAGGAAGGAAAGGGAAAGAGGGAGGGAGGGGGAGAGGGAGAGAGGAAAAGAAGGAAAGAGGGAAAGAAAGGAAGGAAAAGAAGGAAAGAGGGAGGGAGAAAAAAGGAATCAAGAAAGGGAGGATGGAAGGAAGGGAAATGAGAGAGGGAGCAAGGCAGGGAGGAAGGAAGGAAGGCAGGAAGGAAGGAAGAAAGAAAAAAGAAAGAAAACTCAGTGAAACCACCTATTTTCTCCCACCCCACCCCCCCAGATGCCCGAGCCCAGGGCAGGGACCCAGCCCCCTCCTCACCCCAGAATCCCGGACTCACCACTGCTGTGAACTGGTGGAACTCCGGCCGCAGGTCTGAGCCTTGCAAATGGATGTAGGCCCCCTTATTGCCCATCTGGTCACTGGCAAGAGAGGGAGGGGGAAAGAGGTTGCCAGCTGTTCTCAAAACAGCTGGAACAGCAGGAAGAGCCTGGGAAGCTGCTTTCTCCCCCCCCCCCCAATGACACTCGATGGAAAACGGTCACCAGTCACCATTTCCAGTGCCCCTGTAACTTCCAACAGTCACTAAATGAGTGGTTGTGAATTGAGGTCCACCTGTCTGTGGTGGGGGTGGGCCTTTTCCTCCCCCCCCCCGCAGGGAAGGGCGTTCAGCTAAGCAGCGAAGGGGGCCGCTCTTTGCAAGAAATCCCCCCTGTAAAGATCCCCCCGCCCAACCCATGTTGTGTTGGGGAAGGGGTTTCCCACGGTCCAGCTCTCCTCCTCCGGAACCCATCCAGGGGAGGGTCCCACTGATCCCCTCCCCCTGGCTCACCAGTAGTTGGGGGCCGAGAAGACCGTGACGCACTTCCCCTCGTGGGCCACCTCGTAGCCCTCGGCCTTCACCTCGTGGCTTCGGATGATGTAGTCGAGGTGATTGCTTTCCAGGAAACTCTTTGTGACGTCCGGCCCGAATTGGCAGCTGACGCCCCGCTTGCTGACCGACCGGCCATTCTGAGAATCAGAGGGGGGGGGAGGCTGTCCAGTCAACCAGAGAGCGAGCCACAAGCAACCAAAACTCTGGCAAATCTGATCCGGCCGGTCCTTTTTCATCTCCTCCTTGACTTGGCACGGTTTGTTTAGTGACCGAAGTTACAACAGGGACTGGCGACCGGGGCTCACATTTACAACCGTCGCAGCAGCATCCCTGGTCAAAATTTGGGCACTTGCCAGCTTGTTTAACAGCTAGAATGACCCGTTTGACATCAATAGCCAAAAAAAAAAAAAAAAAGGTTGTGAAGTCAGTTGGTTATGTGGGCGACTCGAGTTTGTGACCGTCACGAGTTACAGCCATAATGGACAGACTCCATTATAGTCGTAACTCAAGGATTACCTGTATGTCTCCATGGAAAGTATCTTTCTTATCCTCTCAAATGGTGGGAAAAGTTCCCGGAGGTAGAGAGGTAGAGAAGTGGTTTATCTCAATCCTCCTCTTAAAATGTGTGTGTGTGTGTGTGTGTGTGTGTGTGCGCGCGCGTCCATGTGTGCGTGTGTCTGTGTAGGATCTCTAACAGCCTGTTGTTCATTTTTTCCACTCCCTACAGTAGCCTGCAGCATCATGAACCATCCACACCAACCAGAACTACCTCCTTTAATTAATGCTGGCTGAAAAAATAATGAATTTTTAATTAATTAATGCCAGCTGAAGAAAGAACCACACCTAAACTTGGAGAATCAGAAGCTTGGGGGGGGGGGGAACAGCAGGTTCAGACCATAGGAGAGGAATGGTAGAACTTGGGGAAGGGGGCGGGGTTAAAAGAGACATCAGCCTAGAATCCGACTAAGTCCTCTCTCCACTGATTGCTGTTGAGCCTTAGCTAACTCGAAGCTGGCGCTAACCATTAGGTGAGAAGATGCCTGCGGTTAGGCTCCGAGCAATAAAGCAGCTTAATTGGACTTTCATGTGTGGACCTGGTCTTTCATGTTTCACATTCGTGTGCAATGCCATGCCCAGATTCCAGGGATGAGGTAGGGCTCAGATAATGCCAAAAGCTGAAGCTTAAGTTGAGGGACACCTGGAGTGCCAAAGCTGGACTCACCTGGGGTTGGGGATCTGACCACAACAAGTCACACATAGGACCTGAGAAGACAAGAGGTCAAGTGAAGAGAACACGGAAGGCAGACAACACAAAAAGAACATTAGCAGAGCATCCTTGATAAGAACATGTTGCTGAACCTCACTTGGGTTCTGCTCCTCTACCAAGAATCCAGGATTCCATGGTCTTCACCAGCAGCTATCTTGAGATACTTTGACCTAGCTCAGCTTCTGCTAATAGGGTGAGGAGGCCAGGCCCAAAATACAGGGGGCTGGAGATAGGAACCCACAAACACCACCTGTGATACAGTTTAAAGGCTTCCTCCACCTCCAGAGGTCTTGGACAAGACCATCACTCGTGAGGGTCAGGCAACTTGGGAAGTGAGGTCCAAAGGGGCTGGAAGGTGGTGGGCTGGGGAAAGTTGACCAAAAGGTTTCTTTCTTTAGCCCAAGCGGAGGTCCACCTGAGCAGGAAGCACCTTATCTAGCTAGACAACCTGAGGACATTCCCCATCAAATCTTCTGCTCACCTGAGTCTGGAGGTTGACGATTCCTTTCAATCTTCCGGATGTCGTCTAACATGATGCCGTCTTCGCTGAAGAGCCCACCGTGCATTATCTGTTGGGGGGGGGAGAGAGGAGCCCTAAAGTCAGAGATGGTGGCAACCACCCAACGTATCACCCAGGCTTCAACCAGGTGGGGCCACCCCTGTCTGCCCAACCCAAGCCACGCCTCCCGCCTCCTTACCAACACCTTCCCGTTGATGCAGTGCACCAGGGGCAGCCATTCAAAGACTTCGCTGAAGAGCTCAAACATCTGGGCCGTGTACTTGGCTTTGACTTCGCCTTCGAAGCCGTAGATCTGGTTCATGTTGTCCGTTTCGTGGTTCCCTGAAGGAGAGGAGGAATCGGGAGGCATAGGACACCGAATACCGGGAGTCCTCCACTTACGACTACAGTGGAGCCAACCTCTCCGTTGTAAAGTGAGACATGGGTCAAGCGAGCTTTGTCCCAATTGACGACCTTTCTCGCCATAGTTCAGGGGTCTTCAAACTTGGCCCTTTTATGACTTGTGGACTTCAACTGCCAGAATTCCTCAGCCAGCGTGCCTTAGGCACGCTGGCTGAGGAATTCTGGGAGCTGAAGTCCACGAGTCATAGAAGAGCCAAGTTTGAAGACCCCTGCCCTAATTGTTAAGCGTGAATCCCTGCAGTTGATCAGTTAGTAACCCATCAGATCCAGCGAGATGGGGGCTAGGCAGGTAGCCCTTGACTTCCTGACCGGACAAAGGAGCCCAAAATGACCACTGATAAGCCAGGCCGTTGTCAAGCCAGCTCTGCCCCATTTTATGACCTTTTCTGCCGCAGTTCTTAAGTGAACCGAGCGGTCGTTAAACAAAATCTGGCTTCCCTCCTTGACTTTGCTTGTGGGAAACCCGCTGGGCAGGTCACAAATGACGATCAGGTGACATCGGGACACTGCAACCGTCGTAAGTACACGCCCGTTGGCAAGGGTCCGGATTTTAATCCCTTGACTGTGGAGGATGCGGCAACAGCGGTGAGTGGGAAAACTGGTCATTAAGTCACTTTTGTTTCCAGTGGCCACTAAACAAATGGTCGTTAAGTTGAGGGTTACCTGTAGATGCTGAATGGCTGAAATGTGCCAATGAACAGCACAAGCAGTAGAAAATGAGCACGGGGCTGTTATGGGGAGGGGGAGGTAGCTCCCCCCTCCTACCCCTCCTTCCCCTGCAAACCTTTGGAGACTCGGAGGCTTACCTCGGAGCAAGTGGAAATGATCTGGATAGAGCAGCTTGAAACCAAAGAGGGTTAGTATCACCTCCACTGAGAAGGAACCGCGGTCAACGAAATCCCCGTTGAACAGCTGAGATGGGGCGGCTTGTTCAAGAAAACAACACGGGAAATGCAAATCTTCCTTTCCTTTCCTTTCCATTCCTCCTTTCCTTTCCTTCTTCCCTTCCCTTTCTTTCCCTTCCCTCCCTCATCCTCCTTTCCTTCTTCCCTTCCTTCATCTCATCTTCCTTTCCTTCTTCCCTTTCCTCTCTCCCTCCCTCTCATCTTCCTTTCCTTCCTCCCTTCCTTTCTCTTCCCTCCCTCCATCTCATCTTCCTTTCCTTCTTCCTTTCCTCTCATCTTGCTTTCCTTCTTCCTTCCTTTTCTCTCATCTTCCTTTCCTTCTTCCCTCCCTCCATCTCATCTTCCTTTCCTTCTTCCCTTCCTTTCTCTTCCCTCCCTCCATCTCATCTTCCTTTCCTTCTTCATTTCCTCTCATCTTCCTTTCCTTCTTCCCTTCCTTTCCTCTCATCTTCCTTTCCTTCTTCCCTCCCTCCCTCTCATCTTCCTTTCCTCTCCTCTCCTCCCCTTCCCACTCCTCTCTGGACCCACTCACATGCCTCAGGAGGCTCCTTCTTATTCCCCCCCCCCCCGCAAAACAAACCCCACATTCTACCAGGTTGAGAAGAGGGCCGGCTGCTGAGGTCATGCCAGCCACCATCCCGCCTAGCAGGAAGTCTTGTGGAATCCTCTTAACTCGGTGTTTTCAAACCTGGCCCTTTTAACAAGGGTGGACTTCAACGCCCAGGATTCTCCAGCAGCCAGCAGGAGTTCAAGCCCACCCATCTTAAAGTGGCCAAGTTTGGAAAAAGATCTTTCTAGCCGCTATGAAATATTTGGTACCCAACGTGGCTTCAAGAAGCTCTTATATAAGAGTGTCTGAATGCAAAATCCCGAGCACCATCTGGACCATCCCAGAGACTGTATGCCCAGCACACCCAGAAATTCAAAGGGCTTCCAGCAATCGGGGGAGGGGGGGGAGAGATCCTGTAGCTTCAGCTAGCCCAGGGGTTCTCAACCTTTTGAATGCCGCGACCCCCAACCGGTCGTAAGTCGAGGACTACTCAACCGGTCGTAAGTCGAGGACTACTCAACTGGTGCAGCACCGTTTGCAGAAGGGGACTTTTGGCGGGCTCAGCAGGGCAGAGACAGCCTGGACCATTCCTATTGGCTTTTGAAAGCCAATAGAATTAGACTCTATTCAAGAGAGTCTATTCTATTGGCTTTCAAAAGCCAATCGAGTAAAAGGGAGGAGCACAGCTAAGGAAAAGGAGGAAAAATGGCGGACTGCGTTGTTTGGCGACCCCCGTGAAATGGTCGTTCGACCCCAAATGGGGTCCCGACCCACAGGTGGAGAACCACTGAGCCAGCCCCATCTAGTTATATACCAAATCCGATTCAGGTTGACTGCCGCAGAAGCTCCACAGCTGCTCTTCTGTCCAAGAAGCTGCTGATCTACGGAGCCTCCAGCCAGCCCACCGAGTCTCCCCCCCACCTCCAAAAAAAGATACGTATGGATTGTATTCCGAGGGCAGCCCGTTCAGCTCAAATATATTCAGCAGGTCATAGTATTGCCCGTGGGTGTCTCCGCAGACGGTAATCTTCTCCGTCTAGATGAAAGGAGAGAGAAGAAGACAGAAGACTCAGCAGAGGTCATAAACATGAATCAGAGAGGAATGTTTGTATCACCGGGATAATTTCTTTTTTTCCGTCTCTTGTGGTTTGACTAGAAGATGAAGCCAAGGGAGAGTTGGTGCCGCGAGCGAATTCATAAGGGGACCCAGGAAAAGCCTCTTCGGCGCTCTGAGCAGACATCAAAGGCGTCGCTCTGCTTCCTCAGACGAAAATGACCCCAATTTCAGGGAGATAAGAACGCTGCGAAATTGGACAGGCTCGGCAGAGGCTCCCTGTATCAGCTGAGCCAGGTTTAGCAGGCGCACATGTGCGCGGCGGTGACACTGATCCACCCCACTTAATTACAGGGTCCCGCCACCAGGCCTCTCCCCAGTTCCTAAGAAGTTAATGAGTTCCTCGGAAGGGAAGGACTGAGAAGACCCTTGCTAGGATGCGCTTGTTGAACAGGTACGCAAGTTCAAAGGAAACAGGTGGAAATGGGATGTACCAGTGGAGCTAACCGGGGGGGGGGGTTGTATAGATAACCTTTTGTTGACATTTTTTCCCTGTGGGCACAATGGCCCACAGTAAAAATGAAATTCACTTGCTTCCCCTCAAAGTGTACGCATACATAACACACATTTAAAGCATACTATATACAACATAGGTATAGACCTACACCTTTACATAGGTATCATGTAAATATATGTATATAAATAAATATATAATTTGGGGGTGCCGCTTTTTTTTTAACCAAAAAAGAGCAGGTTTGTGGTAGGTAAAAAAGGTCATCTGAGAGTGATTAGAGCAGGGGTCTTCAAACTTGGCAACTTTAAGACTTGTGGACTTCAACTCCCAGAATTCCTCAGCCAGCCAGGGCTGGCTGCGAAATTCTGGGAGTTGGAAGTCCACAAGTCTTAGTTGCCAAGTTTGAAGACGCCTGGATTAGAGCGTGTTTTTCAACCTTGGCGACTAAAAATAAGTGGACTTCAACTCCCAGAATTCCCCAGCCAGCCAGGGGGAAGTCCCACCCATTTTCAATTTCATTAACATGCAGGCTGGGGAATTCTGGGAGTTGAAGTCCACATTTCTTCAAGTTCATTAGCCTGCTGGCTTGGGAATTTTGGGATTTGAGGTCCATCCATCTTCAAGCTGGCAACATTGGGAAACGATGGACTAAGGAGCCTTCATATTCCAAGTAGTAGGAATAAAGGAGGAATCATGGGGGTAACGTGTCAGTTTTTTCCCCAATTTTCATTGTATTTTTTTTCCCCCTTCCATTTTTTTTTTTCGGTACAGTGTTTTGTTTCATTGCTTTAACCCTGTGAGTGCCACCTCGAGTTGCAAGTTTAAAACTGGCCGGCTGTGTTGGTGAATGCAACAGTAATAAACAGACAAACCAACAATCCCAGGTAAGAAAGACGCTCTTACCTCTTTTAATGTGGTTTCTACAAGGGTGGGGAGTTTTGATAGCACCTCTTTCACCTGTACTAAAATCTGTGGGAAGAAAAAAAAAAAGAGGTTGAGATGCTAGAAAGAGTGCAAAGAGCAACAAAGATGATTAGGGGACTGGAGGCTAAAACATATAAGGAAAGGTTGATGGAATTGGGTATGTCTAGTTTAACGAAGAGAAGGATGAGGGAGGACAGGATAGCAGTCTTCCAGTATCTCAGGGGCTGCCCCAAAGAAGAGGGAGTCAAGCTATTCTCCAAAGCGCCTGAAGGCAGGACAAGAAGCAACGGATGGAAACTAATCAAGGAGAGAAGCAACCTGGAACTAAGGAGGAATTTCTTGACAGTGAGAACAATTAACCAGTGGAACGACCTGCGTCCAGAAGCGGTGAATGCTCCAACACTGGAAGTTTTTAAGAAGAGACTGGACAGCCATTTGTCCGAAATGATACTATAGGGTTTCCTGCCTGAGCAGGGGGTTGGACTTGAGGACCTCAAAGGTCCCTTCCAACATTATCATCATCATCATCATTATTATTAAGAAGAGACTGGACAGCCATTTGTCTGAAATGGTGTAGGGTTTCCTGCCTGAGCATGGGGTTGGACTAGATGACCTCCAAGGTCCCTTCCAACTTTACTACTACTACTACTACTACTACTACTATTATTATTATTATGAGTTGCCGATAAGCAGACAGGTAGGAAAGAGGAACGGAACAATCTGGGCTGGAGTGTGGGGGGGGGATCTTTTCCAATACAGGCAGTCCTCGGCTTATGATCATTTATTTTAACAGCGGTTCAAAGCCTCAGCAACTTTGGAGAAAGTGATTTACGATCTATCCTCACCCTTACAACTGTCACTCTCTCTCTCTCTCTCTCTCTCACACACACACACACACACACACACACACACACACACACACGCGCGGTCACATAATTGCAATTTATACAATTGCAATTTTAATTTGCCTTTACAACTCCTGCAGCCTTCTAGAGTTAACATGATTATTTGCAGCCTTCCCAAGCTGGACTCGCTTAACGGCTCCAGGATTTGCTTAACCATCGTGGCAATTTGCTTAACGACCAGAGTGAAAACGGTTGCAAAATTGAGTCGTGGGGGTCACTTGTTTCACGACTGGCTGATGATGGAAATTGGGGTCCCAAATGAGGCCGTTAAGTGGAGGACTACCTGCCAGAAGAGGCGGGGGGAGGTGCAGTTACCTGATATGCACATTTCCGGTGCAGCTTCTTCTGATCCTTGTACCACTGCATCAGTTCCTTCATGAATTCCAAGGTCACCTTCCCGTTCTCCAGCTTCGGGCCACTGTACTCGTCCTCAATGGCTGAAGAAAAGGGAAGAGAAGGACTCAGGTGAGCAGAGCAGCTGGCAAGGAAAAGCTGGGAGAAGCAGGAGGCTTCCAGGGCTCTCCTTCCGTGACCACGTGGGGATCAGGATTGTCTTTCTAGCAAAATCTGGTGCTGTTCTCTTAAGTTTCCATTTGAGCAGTATGATCTAAGACAGCGGTTCTCCACCTGTGGGTCGGGACCCCATTTGGGGTCGAATGACCATTTCATGGGGGTCGCCAAACAACGCAGTCCGCCATTTTTCCCCCCTTTTCCTTAGCTGTGCTACTCCCTTTTATTCTATTGGCTTTTGAAAGCCAATAGAATAGACTCTCTTGAATAGAGTCTAATTCTATTGGCTTTCAAAAGCCAATAGGAATTGTCCAGGCTGTCTCTGCCCTGCTGAGCCCGCCAAAAGTCCCATTCTGCAAACGGTGCTGCACCAGTTGAGTAGTCCTCAACTTACGACAGGTGGAGTAGTCCTCGACTTACGACCAGTTGGGGGTCGCGGCATTAAAAAGGTTGAGAACCACTGATCTAAGACAAGGATCTCCCAATTTGGCAACTTTACTACCTGGAGACTTCAAACCCCAGAATTCCTCAGCCAGCCAGGCAACTTTAAGACTCCCAGAAGATTCTCAGCCATCAAGCAACTTTAAGACTTGGGGATTTCAATTCCCAGCATAGCTGGCTGGGGAATTCTGGGAAGTCCACAAGCCTTAAAGTTGCCTGTATTGATGCCCCAAATTCCATGGGGCTTCCAGCTCTTCTTTGCCAGTTTGCTTATTACGATTCAGAACCTCTCTCGTTTTCACTCTCGGGGTTGGTGGCCACAACCTCGTGGCTGGTAGCCCAAGTGGTCTTTGAAAAGAGGCGTGAGTAGCTCCTCCTGGGCCGAGGGACCCTGCTAAATTTCCCGAGAACCCCCCCTTCTGCCCGACTCACTCATATTCTCGATGTCCAGGGAGTCGACCACGGAGCGCTTGTGCTCGTCGCTGGCGATGGCGCGCTCGAAGGCTTTCTGCTTCACAATCTTGTGGCACTCCTGATACTTCATCTTGGCGTCCTTATCGTTCGGCTTCACCTGGACCACCTGGGGTGGGCAGGGGGGAAAAGGCAGAGGAAGGGAGGCATGGATCAGTTTCCTGCCGCTGACCCCTCGGGGGTCCAGCCTGGGCTGCAGTGAGTGAAGGGGAATGGCCTTGGGCCGCATATAAAATATGTGACATACTTAATGGACATAAAGTAGCAGCTCGTCCTCAATTTTACAACCATTCATTTAGCGACTGTTCCAAGTTACCACAGTACTGAAAAAAGGGACTTAGGACCAGTTTCCCCTCCCCCAGACTTATGACCATCATGGCAGCCCCACGGTCATGTGATCAAAACTGGGACACTTGGCAACTGACTCGTATTTATGACGGTTGCAGAGTCCAGGGGTCACGTGATCCTCTTTTGCGGCCACCTGACACGCAATGGGGAAGCCAGAATCACTTAACAGTGTGACTAACTTAACAACTGCAGCAATTCATGTAACAACTGTGGCCAGAAAGGGGGTAAAACGGGGCAAAAAAAATCAACTTGATTATCAACAGAAATTTCTGATGCCGCTGTGGTTACAAGTTGAGGACTCTGTGTAATGTTAAAAGGTTCCAATCTTGTGGGGCTGCGATTACTGGCTCTGCGGGGCCCCAGGCGGCCCGTGGGCCATGGGTGGGATACACGCCTGCTCCAACCCCTTCCGGGACCCTCCCCGTGTCTCTCTCTCTTACCGTCTCGTAATCCCGCAGAGCCGCCTTGAACTTCCCCAGGGCCATGTTGCTGGTCGCTCGGCGGTAGTAGCCCTTGATGTACTTTTTGTCCAAGTCAATGGACTTGGTGGCGTCGGCCAGGGCGTAGCCATAGCACTCCGTCCGCAGGTAGGCCAAGCTGCGGTTGGCGTAATAGATGGCATTGGTGGGGTTGAGTTCAATGGCCTGGGAGTAATACTTGACTGCGTTCTCGTAGTCCTTCGCTGTGGGGGGCGGGGAAAGAAAGGAAGAAGGCATGAAAAGGACAGATCTATCTATCTATCTATCTATCTATCTATCTATCTATCTATCTATCTATCTGTTTGCTCTCACTTTATATACTAGTGACTGTCAAGGTTTGAGGGTCATCATAGTTATTCCATGACTGTTTACTGTTAGCTTCTTAAAATGAGAGAACACTCCCTACTAGCACTGATGATGTTACCTAGTTGGGTAATGAAATGTCTGCAAGAAAACAACCAAGCTCAGAGAGCACCAAGGGCCCCATAGTCATCCTCCTCCTCCTCCTCCTTCTTCACATACTCATATTCACATATTCATAAAGAGCCGAGGTGGCGCAGCAGTTAAGAGTGCAGTACTGCAGGCCACTTGAGCTGACTGTGTTCAGCAGGTCAGCGGTTCAAATCTCACCAGCTCAAGGTTGACTCAGCCTTCCATCCTTCCGGGGTAGGTAAAATGAGGACCCAGATTGTTGGGGGCAATGTAAATATATATATATATACCTTGCTTACTGGTGTACACCGCTTAGAGAGTGCTTGCACTTAAAGCGGTATATAAGTCTCATAAATAAATAAATAAATACTCCCCTCCCTACTAGCACTGATGATGTTACCTAGTTGGGTAATGAAATGTCTGCAAGAAAACAACCAAGCTCAAAGAGCATCAAGGACCCCACAGTTCTCCTCTTCTTCCTCCTCCTCCTCCTCCTCCTCTTCCTCCTCCTCCCTGCAAACCCATCTCCCTTCTAGCACTGATGATGTTACCTAGTTTGGTAATGAAACGTCTGCAAGGAAACCACCAAGCTCAGAGAGCACCAAGTACCCCACATTCCTCCTCCTCCTCCTCCCTGCAAATAGATTCCCTTCTAGTAATGAAGGTGCTCCCTAACTGGATAATGAAATGTCTGCAAGAAAACAACCAAGTTCAGAGAGTGCACTAAGAACCTCACAGTCCTCCTCTCCACAAACCCCATTCCCTATTAGCACTGATGGTGTTGCCTAGCTGGGTAACGAAATGTCTGCAAGAAAGTCACCAAGCTCAGGGAGCACCAAGGACCCCCACAAATTTTGCCCTATTTGTAATTCCCACCCTTGAAGCAAATCTTCAGCTAATGGAACGCCGTATCTACCCAGTGTTGGGCAAAGAGCTGACTGCCTTTTTTAGGATGTTTTCGGTCCCGTGGATTTTGTCATGAACTCTCATCTCCAAATCTCCCAGCGCCACGGGTGTCAGGGGGGAAAAAAAGCAAAAAGGAGCACACTGTTGTAGTAGAGGCAAAGTTCCTGTGTTACACAACAAGGATCCACGAGAGCCAGAATCAAACAATAACTAAGAGGATAGAAAAAAATTCTCCCTTCAGGGCAAAAGCCACCCTTGGCAAAGGTTAAAAGACAGCCACATTCTGGCAGTCCGAACTGTTTAATAACCAACTTCATCAAAACACAACCCGGGGGGCAAAAATTAAGCACCAGACCAGCAAGGAAGCAGAGAAATCCACCGTTAGAAGCTAATTTTCAAGAACAACAATTGAAAACCTAAGAATAAGGGTTCCTGTGAGCCTACTCAGAGGAGACTGCTGCCTGTTGAATCCCCAAAAGGCAAAGAAATAGAATTCAATTGCTACTTTCTGATTCTGCAGGCAACTTTTTCCATTTTTTAGAAGAAAAGACATTTCTCTCTATAGGAAAATGACACTGTTTCAGCCAGACTACCAACCAAGCAACCGGCTCTAAAAATTAACAGTGGGTCCGGCCCACTGTTCATTCGCAAAGCTCTGCAAATTTGCTGATTATAACAGATTTAAGTGCTAATTTTCCAGACGGATCACTGCGCTCCAAAAAGATAATTCTAGTGGGCGTCCAGGCAACTAGCCCTATTGTGGGTGCTTCAGGCTCCCTTGCTTGCCTGCAATCAACAGAGGTAATTATTATATTATCGCCTGACTTTTATTATAAGTAACTCAAGGCAGAGAAATGTACCGTACTTACTTAACACTCTTCCCTCCTCCTCCTCTTTCTCCCATAGCAACAACCCTGTGAGGTGGCTTGAGCTAAGAGTGTGGGACTGGCCCAAAGTCACCCAGCCAGCTTTCACAGTTTTAGGTGGAGCTAGAACTCACCATCTCCTGGTGATTGGCCCAGAGTCACCCCAATTGGCTTTCCTGCCTGAGACAGGACTAGAACTCACCATCGCCTCATGATTGGCCCGAAGTCACCCAGTCAGTTCTCACGCCTAAGGCGGAACTAGAACTCATTGTCTCCTGGTGATTGGCCCAAGGTCACTCAGACAGCTTTTATGCCTAAGGCGGAACTAGAACTCACTGTCGCCTGGTTTCTAGGCCAGCACTTTAACCACTAAGTCAAGCTGGCTCTTAACCGGTAACCCAATTTGTCCAGTTCGATTTCAACTTGCTGGTCTGGATCAGTGGTTCTCCACCTGTGGGTCGGGACCCCATTTGGGGTCGAACGACCATTTCACGGAGTCCGCCATTTTTCCACCCCTTTTTCCTTAGCTGTGCTACTCCCTTTTATTCTGTTGGCTTTTGAAAGCCAATAGAATAGACTCTCTTGAATAGAGTCTAATTTTATTGGCTTTCAAAAGCCAATAGGAATTGTCCAGGCTGTCTCTGCCCTGCTGAGCCCGCCAAAAGTCCCATTCTGCAAACAGTGCTGCACCAGTTGAGTAGTCCTCGACTTATGACCGGTTGAGTACTCCTCGACTTACGACCGGTTGGGTGTCGCGGCATTAAAAAGGTTGAGAACCTTTTTAAGGTTCAAGTTGCTGAAGGCATCAAGTTGCTGAAGGCATGCAAGAATTCTGAGCAGAATCCCCAAGAGATAACAGTTTTACAGTTTTTTTTTATTGTAAGCGGTTGCTCTGTCACTCTGTTTTTGAGTGGCCTCGATATCTAATGAATAAACAAGAGAGGAAAGGTCAGTGAAATCCAGGGAAAGGGGGGGAACGTGAGAATAACTCCGCCTTAATTAAGAGTGGGCAGACTTTGCCAGTCCTTGACAATGTGATTAGACCCTACAACCCTACAGCAGAACCCCAGGAGTTAATGTGGTGTCTGCTTCCTGACTTGGCCTACCCCGAAGGGCCTACACTCATGCAACAACCCCTGGAATACCCAAGCCAAGAACGCTCTCTCCTCTCCTACTGAGCCAGTCTGTTGGCAGCTGCAGGCCAGGATGGAGCAGACCAGGTTGTCTCGTCTCCTGGCCCAGAAAACTACCAAAACAGGAACAGGTTATTCTCCAGACGAGATCAAGGCTGCACGGAGGTAGGCCTAAGTCTCAAGACTACATGCCCACTCCTGTTTCAGGCAAAGAGGGAATAACAAATCGGGATACCAGCCAGCACCCCATTCTCGTGAATGATAACTGACAACGTCTGGGGGCCAGTCATTCCACTGGTTAATTGTTCTCACTGTCAGAAAATTTCTCCTTAATTCCAGGTTGGATCTCCCTCCAACTTCAACACCCAGAATTCCCCAGCCAGCATGCTTTAAGATAGGTGGACTTGGAATCATAGAGTTGGAAGGGATCTTGGAGGTCATCTAGTCCAGCCCCCTGCTCAAGCAGGAGAACCTATCCCAGGGGTAGGTAACCCAAAACACTCAAAGAGCCACTTGGACCCGTTTCCCACCAAAAACAAAACACCGGGAACCGCAAAATCCTTTTGATATCTAAAATGAAGATAACACTGCATATATCCTTTTTTACCTTTATTATAGGTGTGTGTGTGTGTGTGTGTGTGTGTGTATGTGTATGTATACACACACACATATATATACACACACATACACATACAGGTAAAAAAAGGATATATGCAGTGTTATCTTCATTTTAGATGTCAAAAGGGTCTCTCTCTCTCTCTCTCTGTCTCTCTCTCTCTCTCTCTCTCTCTGTCTCTCTCTCTCTCCCTCCCTCTCTATCTGCCCTTGGTCTGCCTGCCACTCCTCTTCCCCCACTCTTTTTCTTTCTCTCTCTCTCTTTCCTCTCTTTCTCTCTCTCTCCCTCCCTCCCTCCCTCTCTCTCTTTCTCTCTCTCCTATCTGCTGCTCACCTAGAAAGCTTCAAGCTGTTGTCCAACAAAATCAGGGTAGGCAACCTCGTCTCTTTTATGATTCATGGACTTCAACTCCCAGAATTCCTGAGTCAGCCTAGCTGGGCTAGCTAGCTCTCTCCCGCCCTTCCTGCTTCCTGCTTCCTGCAGAGACACAGCAAAGGGAGGAGCTCCGTCCAGAAAGCTTTTCAGCTCCTCGGAGAACACTGTGAGTGCAATCTTTTACACACACACACACACACACACACACACAGAGAGAGAGAGAGAGAGAGAGAGAGAGAGAGAAAAGCAGGGAAGCGCAATTTCCTCTCTGTCTCTGTCTCTCTCTGCAAAGGCAAAGGAGGCTGGGAGCCACCGGGGAAGGCTCAAAGAGCCGCATGCGGCTCCGGAGCCGCAGGTTGCCGACCTGTGGGTTATGGCTACGTCACCGTGAACTCCTAGAGCAAAATGGACATCGCCAACAAACTCGGAGTGCTTGGGTATGGTTAGGAGGGCACTGACTTTTCTAGGCTGCCCTTTCTATGTTTCCTGGTAAAATACATGGGAAAATCCCAATGTAGGAAAATTCCACTTAGGGTTAGGGTTACGTCACCGTGAACTCCTAGAGCAAAATGGACATCGCCAACGTACTCGGAGTGCTTGGGTATGGTTAGGAGGGCACTGACTTTTCTAGGTTGCCCTATGTATGTTTCCTGGTAAAATACATGGGAAAATCCCATTGGAGGAAAATTCCACTTAGGGTTAGGGTTACGTCACTGTGAACTCCTAGAGCAAAATGGACATCGCCAACAAACTAGGAGTGCTTGGGTATGGTTAGGAGGGCACTGACTTTTCTAGGCTGCCCTATCTATGTTTCCTGGTAAAATACATGGGAAAATCCCATTGGAGGAAAATTCCACTTAGGGTTAGGGTTACGT